ATACATATACTTGCTACTGATACAAAGAATTCAGCTCGAAATACGTCAAAGAATGCTGAACAGTGGAACCACTACGAACGGTCCTTCAAAGTACAAAAAATTAAATTTATACTTTTTTGCTTACGTTATGTTACATTTTTGGTACTAAGATCGTACAAATTTCAATTCTGATTCGAATGAGTCATAAGTTGCAACATATATGAAAATTTGTACTAAAAGTACTTAATAGTATAGCATACTCCAATTTTGGAATACTTTTTCAAACATTTCGTCCGGTATCTCACGAATAAATTCATTCGAGGCGTCAATTTGAAGCAGACTCGTAATTATAGCCATACGCTTAACGTAGTCTCACAAAAATTTGTCTAAAGGTTTTAAATCGCACGATCTAAGTGACCAATCGACCGAACCCGAATATGAAATAAAATCTTCACCGATCAAAGTAGCATGGCGAATCCATAATCGAAAGGAACGGCGACTCACATTAGGGAAAACATTCAGAGATAAATGCAAAATGGGGAAAGTGACGCCGTTTTAGAATTGGAAATATTTATTTTAGAAGTCAGAAAAATTAAATAATTTACTCGACCTTCAATGAAATCCTCTCAGTTGAGGACTTTATGAGTAAGCACCAAGGAGAAACCCTATATGACCTGGCAAAATTTATTAGAGAAAGCAAAGCTGAAATTTCATAAGAAGGCACCTAGTCTATTTGAATTAGTTTTGGCCACTGTAAAGGATTGCTTGTCAAGCCTGTGGACCATTTTCACCTTTCTCTGTATCAAAATAGACAAACGCATTTAAAAACAGAAAAAAATTTTTAACCGATCTCACCTCGCAGAAAGTCCACTGTTACGCGTGCGTTGTGTGCCATATTGCACTGTCTTGTTGAAGCCACATATGCCCGCCTGCCCGATCGTTCTTGGCAATTACTCTTTTACTGATCAAATTAAATGACTAAGATTTTCTTTACAATGTGTCTGAAAAGTTTTGGTTCCAAACTTTGCTACAGTCTATAAATAACTATACCTCCGATTTTTTGTACCGTCGATTTGGGTATAAATTGGCATTGAAGGCTCCTTATCGTCCAAAATCCTCCCTATCAATATAAGTTATTCATATTATTATCTTTGAAAAACTTTCACATATAAGTCCTCGTTTCTTTGTATATTTCTCTCTTCAATTTATTTTTAAAATTATCTAAACTTTTTAAAATATAGATTGAGATGTTTGGGTGACCACCTATTTCCCAAGTTTAGCATTGTACTATTTAATTGAATTGAATGTAGATAACTTCCATATGTTGATGTAAAAATTCGTCGTGGTGGAATTTACGTCATTTCTTCACGCCGTGGGTCTAACTTCCGAGATAAAGCAAAATAAATTGGTTTTACTTATGACATTGCAGATTTTAACTCAATCGGTTTAAATGACGATTTAGACCTCGTTCAGCTTATTTATGACTTGTCGTTCAAATCGAATAAGGAATTTTGTCTTGTGGAATATTTCGTAGTTTCAATTATGTCTTTTCCGTTCTTAATTTCTTAAAGAAGATGAGATTTTTCGACATCACAACGTGTTAAAAAAGTTGATATTATTATACCCTACCCTATATGGCTAGTTATACCCTCAGCCACTCCTTCTGGTACCTCCGCCACAAAGGTTCAAAATTTTGAATATTCATGAAGCTCAAAAAACACGCGCCATGGCACATCTCAATATTTCTATCAACACGAGATCTGTTATAAATATGGTAGAGGAAGGACCAATCCCTTTGATAAATTTTGACTATTCATGAAGCTCATACAACGCAAAATTAATCTCCGATTTCATTCGGACTTGGTCCTTCCTAATATTTTTCATCAACTCAAGACCAGTTATAAAAATGGTAGAGATCGGACCATTTCTTCTGGTACCTCCCCCACATAGACTTCAACATTTGGAAAAACCAAACGCTCAAGGAAAGTGAAATAAGCATCCAACTCTCTTCAAATTTCACACATCCAAATATTTTCCAAACGCCAGATCTGTTGTGAAGATGATGTATATTACCTTAACCACAAAAGGTCTTAATTTCCAATACTTTACAACTTGGTATATCTACATATATCTCTTAACCAGTAATCTGATACGAATATGTAATTTATAGGAATTTATGATTTCGCATTAAATTGGATATAAATGTTCGATTTCCTTAAAATTTGCAAATACCAAAATTTTTATTTGTATTAGATGAAGTATGAAAATAGAATACTTCGGTCCGCTACGTTTGCCACCTCATGCATGTTTCAAAATTTTCCAAAAATTTGCACATATTTCATATAAAGTATAGGAAGTAGTCGATATAGTTCAAATCTGTCACGTTGTAATATTTATACCAGTCTCTGGTCAGACACAAATTTGTCCCCCATAAAGGGTCAACAGTTAGAATAATCATAACTTATGGTTGGGGGTATACATTTGTCGGCTAAACCGACTGATACTATTTTATGTTATGTTTTCGCTTTCTGTTTCAATCCCTGTAATGTATAAAAAAACTTTCCGGAACCGAATTGTGCTAACGAGTGTCGCGATGCCCTCCATCGGTATTTTTTTAGATGGCGCCCAAAGTTAAACATAAGGAAATTTGCTTAAAATAGGCTCGGAGCAGGTCCCTATTTCGGATAAGATGAAAAAGTTAGGGGTAGGTATAAAGAAAGGTTCGACCATATTCGTCATATTGACATAAGTAATGTATATAGAGCCTGTTCTTGCTTCGATAGGGCGCAAATAGATAGGCAAGATATCTTTGTGACGAAGACTGGACTGACATTCTTAGACAGATACAAGTTCAGAGATAATATCATTGTTGAGCATATAATAAGGTACTTTGAGGATGCCGATATAGCGAATTTAAAATTCCGATTTTGAATATAAGGTTGTTGTTACACCCGATTTTTTTATTATATTCAAGAAATTCCCCTTCTTAAAATTCGTAGCCTTATAAAACATGGTTTTACTGTGTTGAGCATGTGTTGCTGTCAGGAATCTTCCTGGTGTGCTATTCAGCATTGTGCTCACGTATTGTCTACCTTTAGGAATGGGTTTGCACTGTTTTTTGCGAAAGCTGTCTTAATGTGCAACACATGGCTATGAATTATGATTTCCCTCGATTGTATAACAAGTGGTTGATGTTGGAGGAGTAAGGATGTAAATTGTAAATTTAATATTTGATTTTTTTTAAATAAATCCGTTACCAGATATATGTAGTTTAATAGAACCAAATCGCAAACTGCGTCAGTGGTGTTTGAACAATTTTTGTTTTTATTTCAAAATATAATTTAATTATATAAACTTAGAAATAGTTTTATTTTCTACATAAAAGGCTATATATGACGAAAAATTTCTTTAATAACATTGGAGCCTGGTGTGGTGTGATAAACAGTGCATAGACTACAAATTTGTGTTGCAACAAGTGATAAATAGCCTAATGAGGTTTATCTATTTACCGTATACCTCAAGGAAAATGAGTGTAAAGGCAACCAAAAAAGCTTCTTTGGGGAAGACAATGTCAAATTTGTACTAAACTAAGGTCAGACATAAAAATGTAATATGCCGACCCAGCATGACACAACTTTGGACGGGTAAAAGCCGTATAAGTTGTGATGTCTAGCGAAATTCGATGAAATAATATAACGGTTATAATATTGAAAAATTCTGAATTCCACACAAAGGGAATTAAGTAACAATGTTGAATCAAACAACAATCTAATATTTATACCCTACAACACTAAGTGTTGGGGGTATTATAAGTTTGATTAAGCCAAAACTGATGTAACTCCTTGAAATATTGGTCTCCGACATAGGAAACTATATATGAATCTTCCTATCTCTCCGAGATGAGTCGATCTAGCTATGTATGTTCATCCGTCCGTCTGTCCATGTTAATTTGTAATCAAGCTACTGGACCGATCTTTACGAAATTAAATGTGGAGGTGGGGTTAGGGTCAGAATAGAACCCTATTGATTTTGAGGCGATAACAAAATAATTAGGGGTTGAATAGACCAAAAATAGGAAAAATTCTTGATTTTTATGTTGCTCTGCAGGTCACAATTATTGACCAATTCGAATTTTGCGTGCAGTTAGAGTTTAGGACTGGGCAGAAGCATACCAATTTGGATGGTCATTGGACAATATTTAGCGTGTAAAATAGACCATAATTTTTTTTTTTTTTAAAATACGAAAATTTCCACTAAACCGCGAATATTTTTAATACTTTCGAAATCACAAACAGACGAAAATATCACTTCTGGTCGTTACATTGATGCTCATTTCCGAAATATCGCATATACAGCAAAATATATCAAAGAAGGGGATGTTAGTTAGACCGCTTGTAAGTAAAGAACCGCTGGACTGATTCTCACAATTCTCATCAATTCGGAATGGTCTCTTGCCAAAAAAGGATAAAATCTAAGAAAATCGCCAAGTTCTAATGTGTTTAATAAATAAATGAATATTTTTTGTTTATTTTTTTCAATTTTTGTCATAATATTTTAATATATTTTAATTTGACGATGTACCACTCCTCTCCTTATATTAAATTGGGAAAATTTTAAAACTTGAAATTTACAAAAAGAGAGAGGATTTTCTCGAACTCTGAATTTAAACTGGTGGAGAGACATTTTCTCCCAAACGTTACTACGCTGAAGGTGCGTATCTGTTGGTAAACTGACTGATACGATTTGTAGATTGTTTTATTATATTTTTACCACTTGGAACGATACGGAAGGTCTTAGAGGAGCTAAGAACCCACTCTGCTTACCAAATTGCAATAAGGAAACATATAAGTTTTCTCTAAAAACCAATAACTGCAAAATACTTAGAATTAATTAATACAAAATATTGTATGGATGAAATATCGATATCTTCGATATCTCTACGGATTTATTTTTTTAGCAGCATCCCACATTTTATAAGCTTATTTAAAGCATTTTTCCATCTCTTTTACATTTCTTTACAGATGTTGCTGCGGCCAGGCTCGAGTAACCCATCAAACCATCGCTGGCATCGAAAGTGGATCTCCCGGTGACTTGTGGTTACCCCATAAGCATACCAGGGCGCAGCCCACCGATGCTTATGGCACCATTGAATTTCAAGGTGGTGCTCATCCCACCAAAGCCCAGGTTTGTCTCCAATGGACTATTGAAAATTTTCATAACCATAAGAATGGCAGAATACCAACGAAAGAGAGGACTCGTCAATATTTTCTTTTGCATTTTTTTTTTGGTTTTGTTCGCCCATTCTGTTGGGGCATTACATTGAATTTCTTAGTCAATGTCATAAGCATCGTTATCGCTGTCTATTTTTATAGACGGCGAACGTTGACGACTACGACGAAGAAGGAGAACAAGTACCACAAATAAATAAAGGATATTTTCCCTCAATTCAAAGTCAATGTTCCGTGTGCTTTTCGATAAAGTTTTTCTTTACTCCATCTTTGGGTTGGTTTCTGTGTAACCCAGTTTCTGCCTTAAAATTCAATTTTCTTATGGCTTTGTTAAGAATTAAATAAATTTCCTTTTTTGGGCGGTTCTTCTTTGCAGTATGTTCGCCTTTCATTTGATACCCGTCCAGAATTATTGGTGCAGCTCTTTACCAAAGAATGGAATTTGGAATTACCAAAACTCCTCATAACAGTACAAGGTGGAAAGGCAAACTTTGAGCTACAGCCAAAGTTAAAGAAGGTATGTATATTTTTAAATTGTTTGTGCTGTAATTTAATACGTGGTTATTGGCTAAGTAATGATGTTAGTATCATATTTTTCGAAATTGCGTCATTCCTATAATTTAAATGAGGAAACTTAAATAATAAGTTAAATAATAAGGAAAGGTCACTACTATACTGAAAATGTGTATGAACGACAATTCGAATCCTCAAAAATATTGATGAATACAAATTATTTGGAAAGAGTCGCACGAGAGGTGAGGGCTGTTGTCAAATTTACACTTTTTTATACCCTCCACCATTCTATGGAGGGTATATTAGCTTTGTCATTCCGTTTGTAACTCCTCGAAGTATTCACAATAGACCCTACAAAGTATATATCTTCTGGATCAGCGTAAAATACGATCTAGCGACGTACGTCTGTCTATCTGTTGTAATCACGCTAGCTTTCGAACGAATTGAGATAGAAGACTACAATTTTGCATACATGCATAGTTTACCAGTAAATGGGCCTTGTCGGTCCACGTTTTCGTATAGCCCCCATGTAACGCTACCTCCTTATATTCGGTATTTTCATGATTTTAGCGACATTATTCACTGGAATCGTTTCCAATTTCGTATTGGATGATCTTAATGACTACTACAACCTATGGCAAAAAAATTCGTATACAGGTCCAAGTCTTCGTATAGCCCCCATGTGAGGGTACCTCCCGATACTCTGTATTTTCAATAATTTTTGCGGTATTATTCACCCTAATTGCTTACATTACATCTTATGACAAAAAAATTCGTACGCAGGTACTCGTCTTTGTATGGTCCTCATATAACGGTTTTCATTTAAGTGGTAGTTTGCGGATTTTTTTTAAATTTTCAAGTTCCTTCCAAATGGTGGAGGGTATTAACAGTTCGACTTAGATGTTTTTTTACTTGTTATTTCCACTTGTATTGAGACGAAAGGATAAATTTAGTTACTTTAATATGTTGAAATTTTTATTGGTATTTTTTTATAAAACACGTTTATTTATAATGATAGATTTATAAAGATAGATTTGGTTAATAGTAACTCTGGTATTATGCGATATTAGCATCCGATTTAGTTCAAACTAAGTACATCCCAAAATGTAAGCCTATTTAAAAGCAAGATCGAAAAAATCGAACATATATGGGTTCATACTTTTCCAACTCCAACTCCAAAAAGTTTGCAATAAAAAGCAAAGACTCGTATTGTTCTTATTACTACCAATCCAATATTATTCCCAACCCAAATTGGCATATCGTAATATTTAGATGATACTTGTAACAGGTGTTAAAATGGTCAATTTTCGGCAAAAAATAATTTTGTTCCTTGGTAGTATTTATGTCAGATGTAGGACAGGAGACTCACTGCTTCTCGCTTGTCCTTTAAAAGGTAAATTTTGAATAACAAAAACTCCGATTATCTTTAAAAATCGCATGTCATAATTAGATAGGTTTAGTTATCGCATGAAGATGAGATTGCTCCATCTGGTATATTTCCCACAAAGGGTCAAATTCTTGAATTATCACAATTGAATTATCATACATTGTAGAAGAAACGTACCAAATGAGAATTATATATAACTTAACTTTTCAAAATTTAATCTGCAAACAAACAACGACAACAACAAATTTCAAGTATTGTTTCACTCTTATTTCTATTCGCGATGCAAATCGGGAATTTTTTAAATTAATTTAAAGCTCTGTAGTCCTCGCAGTTCTGAGCCATTTGATAAATATTTGTCGTATATAGTCTATATAGATTCTCAGTAATATGCATCTGATATCGAAAAAGTCGTTCCCATTCAACTTTAAATTTTTAAGTAAAATATTTTCTTTATCTCTGAAAACTTCATAAAATATATTCCTAAACACTGTTTTTCGAACTTAGTTTTGATTAATCTAATAAACGATTTGATTTTCTTCCTTTTTTGGCGAGAAAAGAATACCAACCGAATGGTTTGGCTGTTGATTCAATTCTGATTTTATTTCAAAAATATGTTTCTTAAGTGCTACAAAAACTAATTTAACATAACCTAATAGCAGCCACACAATTATTCTTATCTATTATTAGATTTAAAAGGAAACATTACATGGCCGCGTGTCCTTTCATTCAAGTGATCTTGGCTGCCTACTGGCGCATCGATATCTATGACCTTTATTATCGTACACATTATCGTATGCGACAACGCACGAGGTCACCGAATTGTACATATATTATTTTTTATGACCGCTGGAAAAGTGACAATTTTGAAATATTTATTTTTAATGGTAAGATTTTCCCAGCGCCTCAACCACACTCAAAAGTATGTACAATATATTTTTTACAATTCCATTCTCCGTAATGTTCGGAGTGTAAACGATATTTTTATTTATTTTTCTACCATCTTAGAAACCTAGATGCCAAATAAGAGACAAATCAATTGAAAAATGTAGCGAAGGCCCTGGAAATAGCTAAAATCCGGGGTTACACAAAAATGTGGGAATATATTGATCATTTTTTTTTGCTAGGATGGTTTCTTCCTAGTAAGAATTTAAATTTAAAAATTACCAAAATTAGAGGAAATTAGTGTGAAAAGAAACCAAGCCTAAATTTATCAAAATACCGAATATGGGAAGGTATGATTATATGGGAGCTAATGAATCGTCAAAATATTGAGAGATACCTTAATATGGGGGTTATAGGAAAGCGTGGTCCTATGAGGACAATATAAAAACACAGGAGCTAAATTCCAATTAAAAATTCAAAATACCAAATTTTATTTCGTTAGAAAATGTGGCTAAAATCGTCAAAATTCCGAATATCGTATCGTACAATTATATGAGGCCTATACGAAATAGTGGATTGATGTAGACAAAGTTTTGCTATAGAATGTAGATCCCATTACAAACTTTTAATACCGTATTTTAAACTATTCCGTTAGAAAGTGTGGTTAAAATCGTGAAAATACCAAATGTGGAAAGGTACAATTATATGAGGTATATACGGAAACATTGACCGACATGGATCATTTTTGAACCTGACCTACCTGCAGACAAAATATAACTCATGGCTAAATCGACTTAGAATTTTACTCTGATCAGGAATATTTACACTGTCTATAATGACTATTTTAATGAGTTACAAACTCCACATACATAGTATGGAGGGTATAAAAATATGACTAATAGTTAAAAATACTTCAAATCGGGGTATACCCTTTAAATGGGGGACTATACAAAAACGTTGACCTATATGAGCCATGTTGTGTAAAAACCCAATATCAGTATCAAATTTAAGAGCTCTGTCTTGAATTTTACGAAGTATAGAGCAAAATATTTGAGGCCATTTGTGATTCGTTAAGGCTATTTATAATGAGCCCTAAACAAGTTTACCCTGGGAACAAAAAACCCTTTTGGGATCTACTAGCCGAATACTATCACCACCACTTGGAATTTCCCACCCCACCAGACCATGACCTAAAAATTGTCGCACAGTGTCATTGGCTATCATAAAAAATTATTTCTTCTTAAAAACAACCATAACTTCTGCGAACAAGAACCAAACTTAGAACGCCAAAAGATAGAAGTAGGCTATTTTTTTCAAATGCAGACTGACTTTTCCAAGTGTTTTTTTTTTTTTTTTTTTTTTTTTTTTTTTGAATATTTCTTCTTGGATGATTTTTGGCCCAAAGTTGTGTTGTTCTTCCGGTTACTACTTTACCGCTCAGAAGTTTGTCTAATTAGTTAAATAGAATAGAAGTGCGGTCGGCTGGACTTTTAATTAAACCCACCTTCCTTCCAAATGAACTTGGGAATTAAAAAAAATTATTCTTCGAAAAATAAAATAAAAATAAATGCCTCCTAAATGAAAATCGTTATATATGAGCTATACGAAGACATGTCAATGCTTTTGACATAGTCTGTAGTACCGATTCCGAACTTAAAATACGAAATTTAAACCAATACCGGTGAATAATGCCGCTATTATCATCAATATTCTGAATAAAGGCAGGTATGTAGGTTATACGAAAACGTAGACCGACATGGTCCATTTGCGAACTTATCCTGCCTACTGGAAAAATATTCGTTCCAAAGATAGCTTGATTATAACGGAAAGAGAGAGGGACGGACATTGTCTTAGAATGGTCCGCTGATCAAGAATATATACTTTGTTGGGTCTAACATGAGTATTTTGAATAGTCACCAACGGAGTGACGCCACAGTATGGTGGAGGGAATAAAAACATTGAAACAAATAAGAAGTTCAGTCTGGACGACTAAATTAATCAATATACCTTTAACTCGCTGGAGCAAGGAATAAAACAAACAAATGCACTTATTTTACCTACTTTTAATCCTAATACAATTTATTTTTATATATACTGACCAGCCGTAGACATTTTCCTTTTTATAACCGAACAGAATTGTCTGATTGAATTTTGAATTGATTTTAAGCTGAAATTAAAATACTAAAATAATCTGCGTATTTTAATGATAATCAATTGGTTGTGCAAACCCTCTGGTTTGCCTAATTAGATGTTTCATGCCATTTACTCACCGTGTAATTTATTTCGGTTTTAGTCTGTTTGTGAACTATATTCCATTAAGATAAGCCGTTTCGTTGAAATTAAATGCAATGTTTATTTCCATTTTCAATTTTAGGAAATTCGCAAGGGCCTACTGAAAGCGGCCAAAACCACAGGAGCGTGGATTTTCACTGGTGGCACCAACACAGGTAATATTTAATAGCAATGCAAATATTTGCCAATCTATCGCATTCGTTTTTGTTTTACAATATTAAATATGCAAACACCCCGGCTCGTGTCGCACCGTTTTTTTTTTGTCTTTTCGAAAAAAAGAGATTTTGATGAATTTACATATTTCATCCTAAAAACGTGCTCTTCTATGAATACATTTTATATGGACGAATGTAAATTGTCTACATACGGACACGAATATATGCACAGCAAAAAAAATTCCATTACCCACACACACGCACTCACACACCCACGTCATTTTTGTTTTGTGTGAATGGATACTTCGGAAACGGATACTCTTGACATGTTTATGATGTTTTAATATTGGACGAATATTACCAAGGTAGCTGGTACATATGTACATAAGGGTATAACTTTTTTAAGTATATGGGTCAATTCATTCAGCATTGAGTATTAGAGCTTTATTCGTTAAAAGTCGATTTTTTAAATAAACGTTAATACCAAAGCCCTTTTAAAAACATTCGATAACATCGCAATATATTGAGAAGAATGAGCATAAACTGTTTTTAGTTCGACCGAGTCTAACTTTCTGTATCTTTCCACCATTAAATGACTCAAGTTAAAATTAAATTAAATTTGGGATTCCCATTATCTGAGCGAAGTTACCAAGACCATCGAATATAAGAAGATACCACTATACGAGTGATATATCAAAAAGTGGACTTATGTTGAAAACTTTTTGATAACTTTTGAAACTTTTTGATGCGACTGAAATGTTCAAAATATTTCTGTTACGGGTGGGCTAAGCTGCACAATTTTTGAACACAAAAAATGAGAATTGCTTTTTGGAAATCAAAAAAAGTTACAACCTTAATATACATATGTGTTCGAAACATTACCACCAGATCCCATTGTATACGTGTGGGTGTTGATGTCAAAACATGCCAAAGTATCAATGTGTCAATGCATTTGATGTCCTTTTTAAATATGTTAATGTTTTGCATTTACTTGATGTACTTTTGCGGTCCATTTCCTTCCGGCCTTCCTTCCTTCCTTGCTTCCGCTGTATGGTAACTTTATTCTTTTCTTTGTCTTTACAGGTGTAACCAAACAAGTCGGCGATGCTCTGCTCCTGGAAGGTCAACAACGTACCGGACGTGTTGTCAGCATTGGTATAGCGCCGTGGGGCATTGTTGAACGTAATCATGAACTGTTGGGTCACAATCGTGAGGTACCCTGCCACAGCATCAGTTCACCAAGGTAAGCCCCCAGAGAGCTGACATTGTTTTAGTCATTCTATTTATTTTTCAATAGAGTGGTTGAATTGTAGTTTACAAATGCTCTGACAACAACTCTGCTCTGTTAACAAATATTGCACAGTCATTTGAAGCAAAAAAAAATGTTGGGTTGTGCTTAGGAGTGTTTTTTGGTAAATTAAATCGAATACTGCACATTTTTATTTTGATTTGTGTACATATCTATTTTACAATAGAAAAACTCGACCCATAACAATGCAAATTTTACTAATTTTTTCGATTCTTTAAAAATAATTTTGAAAAAAAAAAAATAAATATAGTTTTAAGATTAGACAAGACACCAAAAAATATCACAGGAATAGAAATCTGATCCAATTATTTGTTTTCATTTAAAAACTGATAGCCTGATCCAGTAAAATCTAGATAGTTCGTGCAAAGCCTTTTTATTGTGTTCCAAAATTTTTTGGTTGAACTTTCTATATGTAGAGCGAAAGGGAGACGCTTGAGGCTCTAAAAATAAGCCATTGGATCAAAAAAATGCATTTTCTTCAAAAGAATTTACTTTATTGGACTAACGAACCTGAAAGTGACAAAAATATAATTCAACCATTTACACATTAGAAGATTAACTTTTGTATTTTACAAACGAACTTGGGTGTTTTAGGCATTATTCGGGACAAATCATCCATGCTACTTAACCTCATATGGGCAGATTGTATTTACCATGTAATACAGTCAAATATATTATCTTCCGCTATGGTGACATTTGCAGTCGATCTAACCGTGCCTGTCTGATTTATTTTTAAACATCCACCAAAAATCTTCCAATATGCAGAGTTTACAGTAATAACACTGTACAATTTCTGGAGATTCAACGTGAACGGTGACAAATAAAGATATATTTTCTTTAAACGGACTGATTTTCGTAGTGTCAGCTGGACAAAGAAGGTCGACAATGCAAAAACTCCAATTTTCGAAGTTAACAGAAAGAAACTCCTTTATTCCGCAGAAAGATGCTCACCCAATATGAATTTATACGTCTGCGCGCTCTTTGACGTCCAGGGAGCCGACGTTCTCCAGCTACAGTGAATAGGTTAATAATATCGGTGGCAGCATGTCTATAAATGCTACTCAGACATGACTGATAGGCTTCATGACCTAAAGGCTCTCTCTTGCCTTGGTGTCTTACCTTAAATATAGTCTTATCTGTCATATGAGGGTTTGGATGACTCTAATTGTAACTTCCAAGCAGGTACTGGAACGAAAGCATGACCTTATATTGACGTACGGGTAGAATCACTATTACCATGAGAAGATAACCTGTTGCAGATGGTAGTGTTGCATTCTGGGAAATTTGAATACTCCTCACTGCGTAACTCCAGAATTCGCAGACCACACTGGGACCGCATTGCTAAACACAGACCGTTTTATCTCGACCGAACCAAGTCTCTTTGTCCGCACTCCAAGTGATGCCAGCTAGTGTCTTGAGGACATTGTTCCTCCTTTTCAAATTATCGCAGATAGCTGTGGCATACACGAAAGATTTAAACATGCTTTCGATGTGAACCCGAGAATTTTAGTGTATTTCATGGTCGGAATTAAAGGCCTTACGACCTCTACATTCAGCTGTGTTCTCATCTTCGCACGTGGTAGAGTTTTGCTGATATTTTTATATTCTTCCGTGAAACTTTTCGGCAAGCTCCGCAAGATAAGTTTTCAGTCTTACATATAGTCAACGAAGGTGAGACCAGATGCAATGATCGTGCAATCATCCGCATAAGTTACGATCTCAGTACTGTCTGGAGGACGAAGCATTCCGTAGAAGTGGAGGTTAAACAGTATCATCGGTTTGGATGACTTGGCGATGACCTTTGCAAAATCAACCATCGGAAACTGTGATAGTTCTTTCTAGTTGATCATGACGTAGTAGTTTTAGTTTTGCCTATCAATCACGGAGTACTTAACAAATTAGCAGTTGGATAAGCTAGAGCTACACTTCGGATCGTTCGCCGTTACATCGTTAAATTTGACTAAATTCCTGCCATTTTTCCCATGTTTCACAACATTCTCATATCGATTCAAATATTGAACAACTTTATATGGCCTATCCACTTTTATCTCCTATGCTCCTGTACCAACCATCCGGTTCACATCTCGTGGTAGACATTGAAATCCCCTAGTACCAGACGGATATTGCATTCTCTAAGCGGTCTTAATCATTTCCGCATTTTACGGACAGTTCCATACAATCAATGTATGAGTTACTTGAGATTGGCTCAAGCGAGATAATTCTGTATTGAACAGAATGATGCACGTCAAATACCTAAAATAAAATTTCAGGGTCCGCCAGCTGCTGTCACCTCAGTGTAGTTCAAGAATGTATTGATTCCAGATATATTAAAGGTGTACCATCCGATCGATATTGGAAATATATACATTATTATAACCTTTGAAAATCAGATATATTGTTATTACACAATCCAATAACTTTAAGGATTCGTTACAGAAACTTTACCTCAAAATATAGAGGTTTAGGGGTGCCTGTTGTTGTTCTTGTATAAAAATCCTTAGAAAAATTTTTAGAGAAATGATCAAATATCCATTTACAAATTACATTCGCCCCTATATGGCAAACGTTTCAAACAAATATTGAAGTGAATATAAATTACTTATTTGGTTAATAGCTTGGCTTAAGGTCATTAAAAAACTATGTTTTTATTTTTGAATTTTTCCTTTTTTATTCATCCAATATTTCGATTTCCTCCGGAAATCATCTTCAGGGATCTGTTTTACAAAAAACACAAATTACAAACTGATTTTAACAATATATAACACAATAAATAACATACATTTTTAAAGTAAAAAGCTCGTCTATTGAGTTTAAATGTCACTATCAAACTAAGTTTTTCTTTCGTCGGTGTTTATGAACTAGGCTTCTGTAAATGTGAGCACAATGGTCTGTATCGGTTTTATAATTAATGCGTTTGTCATTTGGTAAACTTATAATATGTAACATTTCCAATGTAAATCGTCTTTTGTAATTATTTTCTTGTGCTAATATGTCGACGGTTTTAAGGTCGGGTTTATGTCCTGTCAATGTACAATGGGCAGCTAAAGCAGTCTTCTGTTCGAGAGGCTTGTCACTTTTTTGATCCGATTTATGTCCGGAAAGTCTAGTTTTTAATTTCGTCTTTGTCGTGCCGACATATGACTTTTGGCATACGTCAGCATCGTCCCCATTACATGTTATCCTATAAACTACATTGCACTTGTCCTCATTCTTAATTTTAGATTTTGTTTTACTAAACAGACTGTCGACATTATTACGAGATTTAAACGCTAATTGATAGTGGTCCTTATTGTAGATGTTTGATTTACCAAGTCTTTCTGAGAATCCCGGGATGTAAGTAACAGCTTTATATATCTTTTTTTGTCTTGCCTCCTTTATTTGGTCCGTTTTTGTATTCAAACCTTAGACGACAAAGAGGATCAAGAGAACGCGAGAAATGCAATAGTCTCTCTAATTGACGACCACTTACAACAGACGAAATTGAGTATAAGAGATAAACTAATAATGGACACAGTGGGTAGAACAAAACAATTTTTAAAAGAAAATAAAGATGTATTGATATTAAATGCTGATAAAGGGGGAAAGACGGTTGCAATGCACAAGATGGACTATGATATGAAAATGAAAACCATTTTAAATGATATTTGCACCTACAAAAGGTTAAAGCGGGACCCAACTACGACATTACAGAATAAAAACAACAAATTAATAGATAAATTATATAAAATGGGAGTAATTGATATGATGGAGAAAAATAAATTGACAATCAATACTGCAAATGCGCCAAGAATCTACGGGCTTCCAAAAATACATAAAGAAAGCACACCTCTAAGACCAATATGTTCTTCAATAAATTCACCAGCTCACGGACTTTCCAAGTATATTGTAAATATTTTAAAACACTTGACAGGGGATTCACCATATAACATTAAGGACGCAATTGATTTTAAAACCAAGATAATGAATTTGGAGATTGAAGAAGACGAGGTATTAATATCATTTGATGTAGTTTCGTTGTTTCCCAGCATACCGATTAACCTAGCTTTAAGAACAATAGATGAAAAGTGGAACATGTTACAAAAATACACGAAAATACCTAAAGACGTTTTTAAAGAAATACTGACCTTTTGTATAAAGGACTGTAGATATTTCATATACTCGGACAAGGTGTACGAACAACGAAAAGGACTTCCTATGGGATCACCAGCGTCACCGATCATTGCTGACATCGTAATGGAGGAATTATTGGACGCTTCTTTAGAAAAACTGATGACAAAGCCGAGAGCAGTAACAAAATACGTAGACGACATTTTTTGTATAATGAAGAAATCGGATATCAACACCACATTAAATATCCTAAATACATTCAACCCGAGCATACAATTTACACACGAACTGGAGAAAAATGACAGACTACCCTATTTGGACTCAATAATAATCAAAAAAGGAAGAAAACTTATATTAGATTGGTACCAAAAACCAACGGCGTCAGGACGATTGATTAACTTTTATTCTAAACACCCTCGACGAATAAAAATAAACACAGCGACTAATTTTATCAAAAGGATTTTCAATATAAGTGACGAACAATTCCACTCAGAGAACGAAAGAAAAATACGCCACATATTAAGCCAAAATGATTTTCCAAAAAGCACCATTGACGACCTAATTATACACGCAAAAACGGACCAAATAAAGGAGGCAAGACAAGAAAAGATATATAAAGCTGTTACTTACATCCCGGGATTCTCAGAAAGACTTGGTAAATCAAACATCTACAATAAGGACCACTATCAATTAGCGTTTAAATCTCGTAATAATGTCGACAGTCTGTTTAGTAAAACAAAATCTAAAATTAAGAATGAGGACAAGTGCAATGTAGTTTATAGGATAACATGTAATGGGGACGATGCTGACGTATGCCAAAAGTCATATGTCGGCACGACAAAGACGAAATTAAAAACTAGACTTTCCGGACATAAATCGGATCAAAAAAGTGACAAGCCTCTCGAACAGAAGACTGCTTTAGCTGCCCATTGTACATTGACAGGACATAAACCCGACCTTAAAAACGTCGACATATTAGCACAAGAAAATAATTACAAAAGACGATTTACATTGGAAATGTTACATATTATAAGTTTACCAAATGACAAACGCATTAATTATAAAACCGATACAGACCATTGTGCTCACATTTACAGAAGCCTAGTTCATAAACACCGACGAAAGAAAAACTTAGTTTGATAGTGACATTTAAACTCAATAGACGAGCTTTTTACTTTAAAAATGTATGTTATTTATTGTGTTATATATTGTTAAAATCAGTTTGTAATTTGTGTTTTTTGTAAAACAGATCCCTGAAGATGATTTCCGGAGGAAATCGAAATATTGGATGAATAAAAAAGGAAAAATTCAAAAATAAAAACATAGTTTTTTAATGACCTTAAGCCAAGCTATTAACCAAATAAGTAAAATAAATATAACAGGTCAACAATATACAACAACAACACGTGAATATAAATTTTCAAACAAAACACTGTGTCGCAGCTAGTCTCGTTTTATTTCTAGGAAAGGGCTGGATTTAACAACAAGAACAAGAGCAATTAAATAGAATTTATGTTTCGTTGGACTTTCAAAGTAAAATAGAAGCACGCCCTTGAGATTTACAAGAAATAGCAAATGATGTCCAATTCAAAAATAAATACAATTGCTAATTTTCATTTACTATGTTTATTTGCATTGAGAGAGACGAAGGGTTCCCACTGAAGGACAACGACTAATCATTACAAAGTTTTCGCTTTGAATTGCTGCCGAACTCTTTCACAATATTTGTTTGAACTTTTTTTCATTCTGTTTGTCTTCATTTCAGATCTAAACTTGCCGTCCTTAATAATCGTCATGCTTACTTTTTGCTGGTCGACAATGGAACTCAAGCGAAATATGGTGCCGAGTTGATACTGCGCAGGAAACTAGAGAAGTTCATATCGAATTTGAAACTGCATCCTTGTAAGTTGAAGTTGCATCATTATGCAGGATAATATACTCCTAATTTTTTGCTGTTATTGTAAATAGTGGAAAATTTTGTGGAAATAGTTTGAATTTCAATTTAAAACAAAACGATTGCAATCCAAACTGTTTCATGACATTGAAAATTCCGCAAATTATTTTATGACCAATCCCCTCCTCCCAATGGTAAAATAAACTTTCACTTTTCGAAATGCAAATCGTTTAACAACATTGAAAGACATGTTCCGGCATTGTAAACATGCATTTCATTCATTCCACACCGTGGCGACTATAGTAGCATAACGAGAGAGAGAGAGAGAGAGAGAGAGAAAACAAACGCAACAACAGCATCGTTGCAAATTACCATGTAATTTATTCCCCATCCTCTCTCCTCGGGACAATTACTCGACATCCCATGATGACGAACATGAAATACATATTCCAACAATGTCGGACAAATTCATTCCATGAATCCGTGGCATTACTGCGACATGTTCGAAGCATGTTGTAAAGCACACCAAAGTCTTTTTTTTGACAATCGTTTTTGTTGTTGGGAATGTTGTTAAATGGTTTTTCTATCGCTTCAAATGGTGATAGTTTCTGTTGGTTGCTGCTTCTTATTTCCCCCTCTGTTTTCTCTTATTTGTTGCAGTTACACATTCCAGTACTCCCGTCGTTTGTCTCGTTATCGAGGGCGGTACAAATACGATACGTGCAGTTCTTGAATACGTGACTGATACGCCACCCGTGCCAGTGGTGGTCTGTGATGGATCTGGGCGTGCTGCCGACCTGATAGCATTCGTACACAAGTAAGTAACAAAAGCAAACAGTATCACCGAAAAAAACTATCCGTTTCTTTGAGCATCGCACATCGCTTCACTGGCTGATTGACACAGGTGGGTTGGTTAGTGAGAAAACATTTGGTATATGACCACAATTGTACCTGTACATGCTAGCAGTGCAATGTCAAGCATATAACCGTCCAAGGAGACATATGACAAAACAAATGATTATGCTTGACTTTATGTGAGTGTGTGTGTGAATAAATGAGCTTTGTTATGTGAAATACATTACTCTGATCTAAATATTACATCAATGAACTGACAAATGTGTGAGATAAAAATAGTAAAAGTGGATTGCGAAATCTTTAAAGGACTTTAATACCGATGAGTTTACTTCGGGATACATTTTTTTTAAGTTTTAAATTTTTAAGTGGGATCCTGCATAAAGAAAATTGTGTCCATTAGTGACATTTAGGATTATGATGATACAAATTCACTATCGAGCTTTTAACTATAGAATCTGTTAAATATCTACAAAAACCACTTAGCTTCCTTTTTGTAGAAGATTTTACTTTTTATTTAGATTTAAACAACTTATGGGTTGGCGTAGAATGGGATACTATCATTAAAAAAGAAAACTCATTCGAAAGGAAATGCTTTATAGTTTTAACTGTATGTGTGTAACATAAATATAATATATGTACATTATATATGTTTAAGTTTAAAAATTGTTGGGAGCGCGTAAAAGTCTTCTGCGAAAGTTTTTCAAGCCGAACTTTGAATACCCTCCACCATTTGGAACGAATTTGTAAATTTTCAAAAATAAAGTCCGTAAAAATTCTGTTAAAATTTTAAAATACCGAATATAGCCGTTATATTGGGGTCTATACGACATGGACCTACATAGGCCTTGTTTGTCATAAGCCATTACCATATTGAAATTCGAAACTTGAAATAAACGGTGAATAATGTAGCTAAAATCAGCAAAATATCGTATAATGGGCGGTACCGTTATATCGGAGCTGTGCGAAAACCTGGACCAGCATAGACAATTTTCTGTCACAGGCTATAACATCCATTACGAACGTCAATTCGGTAAGTATTGTACCTATCGAATATAGGGAGGTACTGATATATGGGGCCTATACGAAGACCTGTACCTGCATAGACAATTTTCTCTCACAGACTGTAGTTTCCATTACGAACTCTAAATACGTAATTTGAAACAATTATGTTAAATAATGACGCTAAAATCATCAAAATACCGAATTTTGGGAGGTACCATTATATGGGGGCTATACGAAGACGTGGACCTGCACACACAATTTTCTGTCTTAGGCTGTAGTATCCATTTCGAACTTCAAATACCAAATTTGAAACAATTCCGATGAATAATGTCGCTAAAATCATCAAAATACCGAATATCGGGGGGGGGGGTACCGTTGTATGGGGGCTATACGAAGACGTGGTCCTGCACAGATAATTTTCTATCATAGGCTGTAGTATCCATTTCGAACTTCAAATACCAAAATTGAAACAATTCCGGTGAATAATGTCCATAAAATCATCAAAATACCGAATATCGGGAGGTACTTATGTATGGGGGCTATATGAAAACGTGGACCTACATGGCCCATTTACAAACTTATCCTGCCTACTGGAAAGGTAAACACGTGTGCAAAATGTTAGCCTTTTATCTCAATTCGTTCGAAAGATAGCGTGATTACAACAAACAGACGGACAGACAGACAGACGGACATGACTAAATCGACTTAGAATTTTACGTTGATCAAGAAATATATACTTTGTTGGGTCTGACATGAGTATTTCGAGAAGTTACGAACGGAATGACAAAGTTAATATACCCTCCATAGTATGGTGGAGGGTATAAAAACCGTAGAAAAAGTCGTTCAAATTCTATCCCTTATATGGGAGCGTTATGAAGACGTGTTCCTTCATAATTAATTTTTTATCACAGACTGTAGTACCCATTACGAAATTTGAAACGATTCTGGCGAATAATACCTCTAAACCATCAAAATACCGAATATCGGTAGGTATCGTTACATGGGTGCTATTCGAATACGAGGACATGCACACGCGATTTTTTCTTATAAGTTGTATCACCCATACGAACTTTAAATACAAAATTTTAAACAATTCCGGTAAAAATTTTGTTAAATTCATCAAAATATCAAATATTGGGAGGTACCCTTATATGGGGGCTATACGAAAACGTGGATCCGTATAGACACTTTTGTGTCATTCATTGCAGTACCCATTACGAACATCAACCACGAAATTTGAAAGAATTCTAAAATCATCCAAATGCCAGATATAGGGGGCTATGCAAAGACGTGGACCTGCATAGGCAATTTTCAACTCTAGCATTCTAAAAATAAAATGACTGTTTTTTGGTACATATTCATTGGTTCTTGGCGTCAGTTTAGTAAGAACATACTTCCTATGACATGTCTTTATTTAAAAAAGGGGTTTACATTCTGTTTTGTAAGTAGTTACTGGTGCCGAAACGTACTTTAAAACTTATATCTAGTTCTTTTGCTGGAAAGTTTACAATCATGCTAATACTTTTCTTGACGAAGGTTTTCTAGTAAACAGTTTTTAAGTGGAGTATTAATCATTCCCATTGTTTGCTTTCTCTCAAATTTAACTAAATTTTTATTAGTTTTCGGGTACAGGCATAGACAAATAACGATATAGACGAAGAGATAATCTCATTGACTATGATCGAATTGAGTGAACCGACCACGCTGCTCATTTTTAAATGCCAATAAATAAATAAATGAAAAAAACTAACTATTTAATGAATGTCTTTGAATAAAAAAATAACCGGTTAAAAGTTTAATTGAAAAATGCTGAGTTATTTGTCTGTGTCACTTCTACCTTAATTGGAATTTGGTACAGGAACGGGATTTTCGTAAAGAGTTTTCTATGAAAAAAAATGGAACAACTTATATTTACTGTGAAAACTTTTTGCTGGAGCTACGATTTCATTGCAGACTTACAAAACTGAAATCGTATTCCACATGGAATAGTGTTTGATTTTCATTTAATTAAGAACAAATGTCCCTTAAATTCTCTATCAACTTCGCCTTTCAAAAAGTTTAGAAGCTGTCCAAATTAAATACCATCATATTTTGTATAACCCTCAGTACCTTCAAAGATATAAGGCCATGTATTATATTTTCAATAACATTTATCTCATTTTAATTCCAAGTTGTTAGCCTCTTTTAATCCCTAATAAATTTAACCCCCTTTTTATTTTCATTTCCCCTTTTTAAAGAATTTCTGAAAAGTTTTATAAAATATGCACATCTACAGAATAAACAAATTTTAATTACATTCAACCTTTGAGAGGCCATAGCCAAACGTTCCCTTTGTCTTTGGTAACTGAAACCACTTTCGCCGCAATTTGATACGGGGAGTGGCTGGCAAAACCCCAAACCAATGGAAACATAAATGTTGAAAGGTCGGCTATTATAATTTGGTGGTGGTTGGTGGTCATTGAAAGTGCTGACTGTTGTGGTTTTGCATCTCGCCAAACATTTACTATGTTTTAATTAATTATTTTTTGACCAGTTTCTGGAGCATTTTCTTGGCGTTTTTTTTTACACCGCAATTTATATTAAAGTCAGCCACAATGCAGCGGCTATTATAGTAAATTTTCCTATTTGTTGGTACGGCACCCCTTGGCCACCATTTTAATCCTTTCATTCAATTCATTGTTGCTGTGTTTGCAACTTTATTTAAAGCGCTATATTTTTTAATTTTACAAAATACAAAAAAGAGTGTCTTAATGCATCAAGCTAATGGTATTTTCTTCTTTCATCTTTTCTCTTCGATTTATTTATTTATTCATTTGAATTTCTCTTTTCAGATATGCCTCGGATGGTGATGAACAGCCGGTGTTGGAATCCATGAGAGACTATCTTATTGGCACCATACAGAAAACATTTGAAGTGGGCTCCGATCAGGCAGAGAAACTCTACCAGGAGCTGTTGCAATGCACTCGCAATAAGAACTTGGTAAGAAACATGAAGAATTTTTAATGAACTGTTAAGTTTTAAATTAGAATAGAATCGTTTAAAACTAGGCTTTTATGAAAGTATCAAACCAGTTAAAATTATGTTCCCACAATTTGATGGTTGCCTTCGAACTAAACAAATTTCAATTGTGCTCCCTTTTTAACTAGCTGTGCTCCCAAATTAACTAAGTTTTTATACCACCGAAGAAAGAAAAGTAAAAATTTTAGTCAAATCGATTAGAAATGTGGCCGAAACCCTCGCAATACCTTAAATCAGGGATATCTATATAAGGGTGGACCTATATTGATAATTTATAAAATATATTGATTATTTAATAAATAACCCCAACATTTGTCGAAATTAAGTGGAAAAAAAACTTGAATTAGGGTTAACCTTTATATAGGAATTTTTCCAAAAATGTAACGGTTTTTTTAAACCAATGATTCTTAAAGCAACGGTTCTTTAAAATTTTTCAAAGGCCTATAGTAAATATTTTGAAATTTGTCTCAAAATATTGTGGTCCCAATGTATATGGTCAAGGCTTTATAAAAGCCTTAAAAAAGTTTGCCATAAGGATGAACAATTTTTTTGGAATTTGTAACTACAAACCGTTCGTTTAGATAGGATTTAGACCTATAGTAGAATTTTAAGAACTATATAAAATTGTATGAAAAAAAGGAACACGTGCCACTCTTTGTATTGTATTTATTGGCTCTGGAAAGTACTTAATTCCCATGGTACTTACTTACGTTAAAGTAAGGGTTCTGTAAGATGTTACTGCTGCCAACATGATCTAAGAAGCTGATTATTTGGTAATAGAATTTTTCCAGGTAATACAGTACCTGAATGAATGCTATGTCAAACTACCAAGATCATGTGGAAACAAGTTAAAAAGTATTCGTCGATTTGTGAAAGATATATAGCCTTAGCCAATATTTTGAACTTTTTTGGGGGTGGAACCAGAAAGAGTGGACCTATATATCTCATATTTTCATTGGACCTATAGGTTAGGTTAGGTTAAAGGACGCGCAGCTGCATTTAGCAACTGCTCCACTCGGAGACCTATAGGTCCATTGTGTTCATCCTAGGAAAGAGTTAGAGCGAAAGATAGAGAAAGTATAAGAATTGACAGTAGGAAATAGATAGTACGTAGTCTACGGCTGAGTTTGCCGTGTCGTCTTTAGCCACTTGAACCTTCTGGCTAATTGAAGGATCACTGCAGGGTCCGTGGTAGAAAAAGAGGACAAATCACGTGACACTAGTTCTCCCACTAGTTTATGTCTCACGTTAATGAGCGCTGGGCAGTGGCAGAGCAAGTGTTCGATTGTCTCAATTTCTTCTTCATCTTGACAGATCCTGCAGTAATCAATATCATCGCTGTCCCATTTTGAGGTCATAGCCCTCACCTTACAGTGACCTGTGATGATGCCCACCACAAGTTTTAAATCTGGTTTAGACAATGACATCAGCGATCTTGTTCTCTTCTCTGAGAGCACAGGCCAGATTCTTTTGGAGATGTACCACGTTTCATCCAGCCATTTTTGTTGTGTCTTTTCCTGGTAGTGTTTGCGAACGATCTGTAGGAAGTGGCACAGTGGTGGTTTGACCGAATTATCTATTTCTATTGTAGTTGATTCGGATCCTAGCCTGGCCAATTCATCTGCAGTTTCGTTACCTGTGATATTGTAATGGCCGGGAACCCAACAAAGCTTGATTGACAACCTAGAGTGTTCCAAGGCTTCCCTGCAGCTTAAATTGGACCTATGGTTAAAAGAAATATTGAAGAAAATCGCTGACCTGTTTTAAATTTAATGAAAAAGATATTTATTAACAAGTTAAAAAGCTGTAAGTTAGGCCGGGGCGAATTTTGAATACCATACACCAATTAGAATGAGTTTGAAGTTTAAAAAAAATAGAATCCGTTAAAAATTCTGTTAAAATTTTAAAAATACCGAATATAGGGAGTTGCCCTTCGGAGGCTACAACGATTTTACAAACGGAATTACAAAATTAATATATCCTCCATACTATCGTGGAAGGTATAAAAATGTTGCCCCTTGTAGAGGAGGTAGGAGTGGGCTTATAAATCCCATATTGCTATAGATATTGTGTTGGTAAAAATGTTGGGTGTGTCAAGTTAAAAAAGATTTGAATGTTAATTTTGCATTTTGAGTGTGATAGGTATTCAAAATTTTGACCAGTTGTGGGGGAGATTCCATTTTCATACAAGATCCATAATTGGAAGAAATATTGTGATATGTCGAATTTCATAATGGGATTCTTCCTTCAGATTTTATAAGCCTTGCGATTATTCAAAATGTTTACCCTTCGTGAGGGAGGTACAAGAAGGAGTGGTACGATTTATTAAATCTTCATACCAGACCAGACCTATGGCTATTGGAAAATTAGAACGCAATTGTATTCTTCTTACCATTTTGCCAAGTTTGAAAGAAATCTAATGATATTTTCTCTTTCAATGAGTTGCATTATTTTCTTTTAGAATTGTTACCCTTTGTGGATGAGATACCAGGAGGAGTGGTCCGATTTTGTCCATCTCCAAACACGATATAAGTTTCGAAAGTTATCGTGGGCACCAGACAGACAGACGGACGGACACCCCTTGATCAATCCAAATGTCCTGAAACGAAGTTGGTCCAAAGAGACCTAGGGTCTAACACGGTTATTTCATGAGGAAACTTTGGGCCGTAAGAAATGATAAATACCCTCTGTAGCCATGTATAATAAGTGTTAGCATACTATTTCTATAAGGAAGTTTTTACTGGAATAACCCATTATTAGTCAACCGAAGCTCAAAAGAATTGTTAACAAAGGTCGACTATTTGAACTGTTGACTTAACTGCAATTTGTTACTTAAGGATCGTTGATTAAAAATGAATAACAATTTCATAATTTCGTATATTTATATATTTCTTGATCTTAATGGGAAGATACATCTTCCTGTGCAATATTATTAATATCGGCCCAATATATACATATCGATGTTGTGCATTTAAAAAGGCAACCAAACGAATCGGTTCTTATTTCTTATTTCAGATTTTCAGTTACCATTCTTTAATAATAAATACACCAATAAACACGCTATCAACTTCGATTATTTTAAAGCATTAGTTAATCTCAATATTCTTGAATTTAATATTTTTTCATTCTTCTTTAATTGATTTCATCTCAATATTTAATACAATACGAATTACTCTCCAACAGATAACAATATTTCGAATTCAAGAAAAGCCAGAAGGTGAGGCACAGGAATTGGATCAAACCATTTTAACGGCCCTCTTCAAATCGCAGCACTTGAGTCCACCGGAGCAATTGAGTTTGGCATTGACCTGGAATCGTGTTGACATAGCACGCAGTGAGATTTTCGTCTACGGCCAAGAATGGCCGAACGGTAAGTTAATGGGATTGTAATCTGCAGAAAACGAAACAAAACCCCCCAAATAGCTCAAGAAACATCAATTGAATGGCGATGAGTCGTCACGACCCAATCATATCCTATTTCTCATAATGGACTTTGCATAAAATTTCAATAATTTTCTCATTTCCTTTTTCTTTCTATCGTGTATTTTTCGGTTTTTGTTTATTCGCCTGTTTGTCTGTGTGGGTGTGGGTGCTTGCTTGCTTACTTTAAATCCCCAAGGAGCTCTCGATGAGGCCATGATGCAGGCACTGGAACACGACAGAATCGATTTTGTTAAGTTGCTATTGGAAAATGGTGTTTCAATGAAGAAATTTCTGACAATACCACGCCTTGAGGAACTTTACAATACCAAACACGGTCCAGCAAATACTTTAGGGTAAGTGCCATCCCCTCTCTCCCTTTGTTCGAAATCATTTACATTTTTAAAAAAGAAAAAGACAAAAAAAAAAAGAAAACATGGGATCATTGTATTTGGCCCCAAAGGCTATTTATGTCGAGACATGTGTTCAACACAAAATATTTAATAATTTATTCTTTTGTTTGCCATTCCATTCCATTCTTTTTTTTTTCAGCTATATTTTACGCGATGTTCGTCCGCATATACCCAAAGGATACGTTTATACTTTACACGATATTGGTCTAGTTATTAATAAATTAATGGGTGGCGCCTACAGGTATGTACTCTAGTTCGCTCTCTCATTATAATGTATTTTGTTTTCGATTTTCTGTTGTTGTTGTTGTATTTGGCATTGATGGCACAAATCGATTTCATCCCAGGGGTCCTGCCAGGCTCTTTTCATTAAAATAATAGGAAACAAATAAAAAAATTAAAGCATGGCAAATTCCAGGCCACATAAATTGAAAATATGCTCTGTTCAAACCCATACCACCTACACATATCCATAGCCACAGTACTTGGTATATTGGGATTGTATGTAATTAATTTGAATTTAATTCATATAGATTATCCTGATTTGAAAATTTATTTAAATTCTGTGCAGCATTCTGTTCGAAATTTAATTGATATTAAAATAAGAATGTTTGTGTATAATTTCGATTCAATAGAAAGGTAAATTTCTTTATAATTACGAACAAAGGCATTGTCCGTTCGGTTACTTTTCAAAATTCAATAGCTAAAGTTGAAAATGGTCAAAGTGGTGGAATAATTTAGGGGGTTTCTTAAACCTCTTTGCAAAATGAAAATGGATAAGCATAAAAAGAAGAAAATTGTAGTTTCAGCAGCTTATGAGGAGAAACGTAAAAAATAGAGGTTAAAATTAAAGCAATTAAACAAGTTTAAAATATTGTCCCTAAGGACGAAACAAACTGTCCCAGAATTGCATTGAAAATAGTAACATAAAGTCACGGTAAGGAATTTAATAAAAGGCTACATTTGTACCAACGACGCACTATGTAGCGAGTTCATATAAAATATGACCAAAAATTGAAGGAGTTGGCAGAGGTTTCTGAATTTTTGTACAATTACTTATTGTTGGTATATTATGTCTAGGATTAAATACTAGGAAGGTAGTTCCAGGTTTTCATATAACCCCTATATAACGACATCTCCGGATGTTAGGTATTTTGATGATTTAAGCCTCATTTTTTAATAAAATTATTAGATATTCGGTATTTAGAGATGGTAATAATTCCACATCCTGCGGCAGAACATTGTCTACATAGATCCACGTTTTCCTATAGTCGGATGTCACGGTACCTCAAGATATTCAGTATTTTCAAGATTTAAGGCACATTTACAAGGGCAGTGAAAATTTTGATGTTCGCAGTAGATACTAACCAATTGCGTATATGGGAACACGCTTTCCTATATCCCCAATATAGCGGTACCCCGATATGATTTTAACTTTTTCTTTCTAATGAATTTTTTTAACTTATTTTTTTTTATATTCTGCTTATAGTGACGGAACATTGCCTATACAGGTCTACCCTTTTCTATGTCCCCATGTAATGGTACCTCCCGATATGGAGGATTTTCATAATTTTGCACTGCCGCCATTAAAATATCCGAAGTTTTTAACAAATTCTCCGATTTCGTTGGGAATTGCTGTTTAAAAGAAAACGCGTTTGAGTACTGAATCCGAATACATTTATTTTCAAAGGTTTTCCTTACCTATTGGAATGGCTATTGGGTGTTCGGCCCAGCTGATCGTAACATGTTTTTACTTGTTTGTATGACAGAAAATTTTCTGTGCAGGTCCACGTCTTCGTATAGCCACCATATCACGGGTACCTCTCGATATTCGGTATATTGATGATTTTAGCGAATATATGCACCGGATTTGTTTCAAATTTAGTATATAAAGTTTGTAATGGATACTACAGCCTATGATAGAAAATTCGTCGTATAGACCCTAATATAACGGCTACATTTGTTACTTTTAAGATTTTAACAGAATTTTTAACGGATTGTATTTTTTTTTTAAATTACCAAATTCGTTCCAAATGGTGGAGGGTATTGAATGTTCGGCCCGGCCGAACATACAGCATTTTTACTTCTTATGTAACGTAAATTCGCTAGAATATGGATTTCTTGCATATGCGTGTTTTTGGTCCATTTCATTCTTCTAGAGATGTCATGTCATATAATCGTGAAGAAGAGCTTAGACCGGTTTTTGAAGCATCAAGATCAAGCCACATTTTTTATTTCCTTTCTCTTCCGTGCTATGGAGAATTCAAAACAAATAAAAAAGTGCCAAATAATTTTTATATTCAAACTTTTTACCCTTTGTGGTGGGCCAATATTGACCATTTCGTGTCTGACCTAAGTCTTATATAAATAAAGCAACATGCCATATTTGGACTATATCGATCTGATCATTTTAGATCAGTTTTAAAAAGCAGAAATGAGCGTGTACCAGATATATTGGACTGAAGTATTCGACTTAATCTAATACGGAAACAATTTTTGAGTTGTGCGAAATGTATAGAAAATCCAATTTTATGCTAATATATACCAGAAGGGGTGAACCGATATTTATCTTCTTACAACAGATCGTGCCTTAGTTATAATGTAGGAATGTGTGACATTTGAAGAGGATCCAGATGTTTATTTGGCATTTATGATCCTTTGTTATGTTAAATCTCTAAGGAGGAGGAAGGTGCGGACTGATATCTACCATCTTCACAAAAAATCGTTCAAATTCCACAATTTATAAGAGTTGTAATACTCGATTCGAGAGTTAGCCAGACATACGGAGAGACAAACGGACACCACTAGATTAACTCCACATGTCCTGAATCGGATTTCTTCCAAAGAGACCTAGAGTCTAAAACCGTTATTTGGACGGTAGTACTGAGGGTATAAAAAACTTTAAGTTTAAGATTCTTTTATAAAGGGTGTTTTTTAAGCTAGATAGAACTTTAAATTGTAAAAAGTAACACAAAAAATTAAATTTTGATGAAACTTTTTTTATTTGCTTCAGTATACTCTGACTAATCATCATGAATAGACTCACGCTTGAACAATGCTACGAAATTATCCAAATTTACTTTAAAAATCAGGCTCTAGAGCAGTTGGCAAATGACCCGTTGTTTTATCGCAAAATTGTGTTCAGCGATGAGGCGCATTTTTGGCTTAACGGGTTTGTTAATAAGCAAAATTGCCGCGTATGGAGTGAGACCAATCCACAAGAGACTCTATAGACTCCATTACATCCAGAAAATGCACCGTATGGTGCGGTTTTTACGCTGGTGGCATAATCGGACCTTATTTTTTCAAAAATGAGGCCGGAGCTCGCGTTACGGTCAATGGAGATCGTTACTGCACCGCTACCTTAGTTAAAATGTTGGAATGTGTGAAATTTGAAGAGGATCCAGATGTTAATTTGGCATTTTACTGTATTCAGAAAATACAGAATCTTCGTCGTTCTAAAGGTCGGAAGTTCGATTATCAATTATTTCTGATTTCGTTTGAAAGTAAATCAGAGATATTCCCGATTGAATGGAAATTTTAATATTTTTTTTCAACCTAAAAATAAATGTTGATATTTTTTCAACAAAAGCTGTAGTCCATTGCACCTGCTAAACATTACCGAAAAACAATCCAAACCACGGTGGGATTTGATGTCATAAACTCTAACTCCATGCAAAATTACCTCGATTGGTCCATAATTGGGATCTGCAGAGGTACATTTCAACTATTTCAAATATTTTGCCAATATTTAAAAATACGAAAGGCTTCTATTCTGACCCTAATCGTAACTCCATGCAAAATTTCGGATTGGATCATAACTGCGACCTGTAACGACGACGAGACGACGACTCGATGGACAATCATAACTAGATCGACGTAAATCGGGGAAATTGGAAGATCGATACACCACATGGTTGGCCTAACACAAACATTTTAATGTATTATATACTTTTTAGCGCAAACTTAGAATACAATGGTGTTATAGATGGTAATTAGAACCTTATTTTTATACCCTACACCACAAGGTGGTCAGGGTATTATGTCTTTGTGCATTTATTTGTAACAGGCAAAAGGAAACGAAATAGACCCATAGTTCCTTTTGATGATCTGCATAGAATCACTTTCTGAGTTGTCCGTCCGTCCGTCTGTCCATGTATTCTTGTGAACAAAATGCAGGTCGCATTTATTATCCGCATATAAAAGTATGCCAAATGTGATCGAAATCAGTTTGGATATAGCTATAGCTCCTATATATATTGTTCAACCGACTTTTTTATTTTTGTCCTCCGCAGCCGTAGTATGCACTCTGTAACAACAATATTTGGGGAAATATATTAAATACAGCTCAAAAATACATTTGCTAAATTTTATCGAGATCGGTTCAGATTTGGATACAGCTCCAATATTTAACTTCGTCCGATTTACCATTTATTGTGCACCAAACGTCTAATATTTGTCCAAATGGGATGGAATTTGGCACATACGACCGAATTTAGTCTAGAAGGTAGTATGCCAAATTTGGTGAAGATCGGTTCAGATATAGTTATAGCTCCCATATATATTGTTCATCCGATTTATTGTATTTGTTACCTACAGCCGTAATATGCACTCCGTAACAACGATATTCAGGGAAATATATCAAATACAGCTCAGAAATATCTTTGCCAAATTTTATCGAGATCGGTTCAGATTTGGATATAGTTCCAATATATATTTTTATCCGATTTCAAATTAATTTCGCACCAAATGGGCAATACAAGTCCGAATTTAAAAGATACAAATGCTTCGGCATATTTATTTCTTTGAATTTTAAATTATAATTATAATCATAGCGTGTATGATTGAATTCTCCCATAAAAACTTTTAATTATTAAGTGGAGCTCAACTAAATTAGCAAAGTGGTGTAGGGTATCATAAAATCGGCCCCGCCCGACTTTAGGACTTCCTTTACTGGTTTTATTTAGAAATTTTAGCATATCAGTTTTATGCAATACACACAATTTTGAATTTGTGCCAAAATGGAAACAGTTGAAAACTTTATATTTTAAAAAAATTGTCTGTATTATTCTATCGAAGACTTGCGAAAGGCAATTGGCTTTGTATTTCATAATAAACAATAACACTTTTAGTAAGGGTAAAATTTAGTCAACCGTTTTAGTAAGACTTTTTTCAATATTGAATGTGTTTCTGTACGAAAAATGTAAGAAAGTGTTTTATCCTAATTCAAAATGTGTTTCATGATTTAAACTTTATCTCCAGTAAAATGGTTCACTGGCATGTCTATCTACTGACCTATTTTCGTTCAAGGAGTTGTTTTTTTATAGGAGCTATCGATATGAGACCACTTTCCTTCCTTTTTTTTTGTATTTCCGCCATAAAAATCTCGCCCGACTTGATGTTTTCCTAATGCGCTTTTCTAAGACAAACATTTTGAACTAACAAAACTTCATAAAAATAACGAAACCTATATAAATCACAAAACTGTCAAGGTGAATAGTTTTGGAATCAAAGTCAATCTAGCCAGTACAGACTCAAGTCTCAAGTTAAAATTGGAGTGCAGAAAAATTTGATGTTCTGTTTAACTACACAAAATGGTGTCAAATGTCAACAAAAAAAAAAACTTTTATTCGATAGAGGTGCCTAAAGGATTCAGATTTACAAAAGTTTTATTTGTTTGAATTGCTGCTACCTTTTTGGGTTGTAGAGTTTTATTAACCGCCAAAGTTTGCCGAGTACATTTACAATGACGAGAAACACATCCATCAAAACATGAGATGGAAAATGTGTGGCAGTATATTTTAGAAGATAACTTTAGCATCAGGGTTAGTGAAAGTTGATAGTTTACCGTTAGAGAAAACAATGCCAATGTTTTTCGCCCTTTTTATTGGGATTAAATCGCAAGTGTCGAATCCAACTTTGTATTTAATTGAATGTTATCCAAATCAAATTGAAATAATTTGTGGTCTAAATTTCAGATCATATTATACACGCCGAAAATTTCGTCCTATTTATGCCAAAGTTATGAACAGCTATGCCAATGCTCACCGAAAATCATCGACATACCAACGATATGCTGGCGCCAATTCATTAAGTCTGGTCACGGGTCTATTGCCCTTCACATCGGAGATGGCCCTCTTCGAATTTCCGTTTAATGAGCTGCTGGTAGGTCCATGACAAATTCAGCGCCAAAAAGACGTCCTTAGTCACGTTTGATCATGTTTTCACTTTTTTTAATTGCTTACCTCTAGATATGGGCTGTGCTAACAAAACGCCAACAAATGGCACTGCTAATGTGGACACATGGCGAGGAGGCACTGGCCAAGTCATTGGTGGCCTGTAAATTGTATAAAGCAATGGCACATGAAGCTGCCGAAGATGATTTGGATACGGAAATCTATGAGGAATTGCGTTCGTATGCCAAAGAATTTGAAAGTAAAGGTGAGTATTGGTAAATTGGGATGCAATTGAATTATGCAAGTCATTTCAAGTAACCATTTCAAGAAATAATAACGGACCTAAGAGTAGCATTTAGATAATATTTTCCACGAGTCTCATTCTCCGCTAAAATATTTCTGCTATTATTCGGCATATAAAGTTATTTTCAATTTCAAGATGTGTTAATCACCATAGATATATTTCGATATAATTTATTTTTATTATCTCAAAATTGTTTCTTTTCTCTGTATTCTAGGTATTAAGTTGCTCGATTTCAGCTATCGAACAGATGCCGAAAAGGCTCAACGTCTATTGACGTGTGAATTGCATTCTTGGTCCAACCAAAGTTGTCTATCACTTGCGGTAGCAGCTAATCACAGAGCACTCCTGGCCCATCCCTGCAGTCAAGTTATATTGGCTGATTTATGGATGGGTGGACTGCGGACACGAAAAAACACTAATTTTAAGGTACCCAACCATAACATATTCATTAATTTAAAGGCAAGCTTATAACAGAGTGTCCTTTTATTTATTTTCAGGTTATATTAGGTTTAGCTCTGCCATTTTATATCAAACACTTGGATTTCAAATCAAAAGAAGAACTACAACAAATGCCTCAAACCGAAGAGGAACATTTGGAAAATCAAAATCTGGACAATGATGATTCGGATCGTTCCCATCCGGATGCTGAGGTAAGTTGACCTTTTGTCCAATGATAAGTGAGAAGGAGAAGATTTCATTTTAATTCTTAATTTCGTACTTGCAAATGACATTGGAGGGATTTTGTGTTGTTTTTTTATATATTGGTTGAGTGTTTATTTTTTTCAAATTTTATTTTGATAGATATTTGAATTTTTGGTTAGTATTTTTACATGTACATATGTAATTAACAACGGGAGTTATCGTAATTTTGTTTGTGTACATTTTGTTGATATTGCAGATACTGTAATACTTCTTTGATTTCCAGACAATCCCTTTGTTCCACTATTTCTATTATAACCTACCACTACTACTACTATTACTACTACCACTACTACTTCTATTATTATTGTCCTAATACTTATTTTCTAGAATCCTCTCACAAAAGCGAAAAGGTCAATTTCTTTGAAATATAGGATGGGCAGTAATAACAATAATGCTGAAAAGGTAGTAAATCAATACTTTGTAATATTCGTGATATTCGAAATTCGTGCATAACCATATAAATAAATATGTGTCCGAGTATCCCCACTCCCATTCCCACCACATGCATACATAGTACATACACACAATGTATATGTGACATCGGTCGACAAACACACACCCCCTTCTTTCCCCTGTATATGTTTCCGTTTACTAACCACTTTTTAACAATTCAATGGTTTTTTGTTGTGATTCTATTTTTTTTTTATTCGTTTAATGTTGTTTGACTTGATTTTGTTCCACGTTTTCAAGGTGAATATACAGCAATGTTAAAGTCAATGTTTTCATCATTAAATTCATTTGTTTGAATATCCAGTTTGAATTTTCTTCAATATTCTCCAGTAAAACAGCTGTCAATGCTGTCTCAAATTATAACATATTAATGATTTGTTATGAGAAGATCTCATCTTCTATTAGAAGAAGAGAAGATCTCGTCATCTATTAGGATGAACGACTCCAATTCCGAAGTCAAATCCTTAACCCATATCCTATTCTTCATATAAGAAAAATCCTTGATTTTATATCCTTCATATTTTTTTATTCAACGAATATGAACAATATATAGTTTTATTATTAACACAATGTCAATAATTTCTAAGAAAAAGTTCCCAAAAAAATCACCAAATTGAGAAAAAGTGGCATTGAGTTTTAATGCAGAGACTAGGAACAGGTTCCTTTCTACCAGAATTTCCAATGTCGTCTACTCTTAAGTGTTAATATTCTATAAATAAACACGATTTTATTAATTAAAAGTGCCAAATCCGTTCTGTGGCAAAAAAAAAAAAAACTACAGTTATCTACAGTTAAGGCTGCAACTACGAACTATGCCCGAAAAAGATTTTTTTTTTAAATGTAATACATGCAATGTCTTAATATTGAATTAAGTTAGCTATTCGGTGTTGTACACCAGGATGCTCCAGTCGGGACGGAGGCCCAGCAAGTGGATAATATTTTCACACGAAAATAATTATATAAAATCGGACCGAGGAGGGAACTCTGAGATTAGAGAGTCGCTCACCTACATTTATTCTGAAGGAGCGGCGCCTGAGAAAACTAGTGATAATTCTAGAGGCTTCACTGTCAAAGTTAAAAGGCTGGAATTTACATACAATTAATAAAGAAGGCTTATGTCCACATCTCCTGTCGAAGCCTTTTTCAACAAAGCTACTAAAATGCGAGTGAGCAGAACTAACAATCCCGTAAAATCCTGCTTTCTTCTTATAAACCTTGCCAAAATAAAGGAATCGAATAGCTTTGCGAACGGCGTTAGAAGGGAAATAGGCCCTGATCATAGTCTCTCTTTAGAAAAGAATCAATCATAGCCTACTTTCAAGGCGTACTGCCATGGTGAAGTGAAGTGAATTGTAAAAAAAGGCAAAACTAGACTTCCTCCCTTATCAGAGTTATGTTGAGGATGTTCTTAATATCGCCTGGGATCGACAAACCCACTAGTGAGTTGTTGTTCACAGAGAAGCTATTAGCAGCAAATGAACTGCTAAACGACACGATAGGAGTATGTTCTACAATCCACTCCAAAATCATGTTGACTTAACTCTGAAAAGAATCGTCGAGTTAACGGCAAAAATTGGAAAAATAAATTAATTAACGAAAATTTTCGGCAAATTAGCGACCATAACAAAGTAGTCGCTAAGACCTACCGATAGACTAGTTGTTGTTAAATTTTAATGCACTTTTTGTATGCAAATTTTGCGTTTGAGAGTTACAGATTTTCGTTGGCAACGGCAAAAACGATTAGAGAATCCCACTACTGGTCCGCCAGTATCTCAGATATGATCATCACAATTGTCCGTATAAAAGGGGACTGAAAGGACTCGCGAAGACCTGTGATTCGCTGGGTCTTAATACTTAATCATTTTCGAACTTGCGACGTTTCAATAATCTTGTGGATTTTGCGGATAGCGGTCGTGACATCTAGTCGTCGTTAAGGATCACGCGACTTCCGCGCTAATATAATGTAATAAAATCATTTTTATCTGGATTTGACGATTAGCGAAAATTCAACTCCGTGTAAAAAGTGAGCGAGTGAGCAATTCTTCAATGCTCCACATTTCCAAAATATTTTTGAGTGATGTTTCCACAATCGTAAATTAACTGACATAATAAAAACGAAGTTAGTATGTAAAGGCTATTCGTCTAGATTCTAGTTTATGGTGCTGATTGCAACCTTAAGGAAAATTAAAGCGAATATGATTAGACATTCAACTATTTTAAAATATATATTACAAAAGGCTAATACAGATCCATAAGCATAATAAATAAACAAATAACCATTTATGGATCTTATCTCCTTTTCAACAGGACAAAATCGTTGACTTGCTCTATTTTGATACGAATTTGTCAGCTAGGCAATCACATTTTGTTGCTAATTTGTAGCCTATTGTCTATCACATTTGTATTATGAATAGAATAACAACTGAATGTGCGTAACTGTGTGTGAGTGAATATGTGATTTTAACCCAAATCAAATTATATAATTTTGTCTATTTGTGTACGTAAAAGTTTACTAATTAGCTAACACATCCCGTTTGTAGTCCTGATTATGTGTCCGTGCCTATTATTATCAGATAAGTTATTTTTTCTTTTTTTCCAATTCTATTCGTTTTATTTCCATTAGTAAAACAGTATCCAAATTGAATTTTAGGGTTTCCTTTCCATATATAAATTTGTTTTTGATGGCGCATAGCGTTGCTAATATTAGTGCTAATATGGATATTTGGCTTTACAATTAAGCTGATAGTAAAATTCCATATCCGGCTGAGGTACATCAGATAGGGAAAATAAACAGATGAGTCAATGTAAAAATTTATACCCATGTCACAGGTTTTGTGATGTGTCAATGTAAATATTTTTCGTTTTTAATGACATAAATAAACCCTTGCATAGAATCTATTTTTAAAGGACACACAAAAATGTTATTTTTAAATAAAAATAAAATTGATTTAACCTTTAAGAGAGGACTTGGTTTGACTTATTAAAAGAGAATATGTGCAATAAATTCAGGAAAAGATAATCATCTTATATAGATATACACTGTCACGATTGACGCTCTCATTTGATACTTTTTTCCTACACATTGAAAATCGTAATTTTGAAATGAAAATATATACATGTTTATACTGCTGAAATGATTTGTATATTTGTTCCCCTCTCCTCTCCTTTTCATTCCATTCTAACTAAAGTACAAATTGCTACAACTTGATTTGGCATCACCATCCCCAAATTATAGTTTAGCAAATTCCAACAATGTAAGTTCAGTTTAAATTAAATTTGACATAATTAAATAAATTAATTATTTTTTGTGTGTGTATTAGACGGCTTTCATTGTCAACATATCCATTGCTCAGTTTATTCAAGTCATTTTGGAATATGGTCATATGTTTTTAGAAATAATTTTATGATATAAAATTGAATTTTAATAAAATCTTATTTTATGTTTAATAATAATATTGAAATCTTATTGGAAGTTATTCAAACACAAATACAAATCAATATTTCTTCTATTTTCCTTCCATATGGGAATGGAAAAGAATTGAATGTAACTATTAAAGACAAGTTATATAGTACTGAAATATTTATATATTTTTAGAATTTAACAATAATATGCAAAAGTTGAAGATTTCAGGAAAGGAACTCACAATTTTCGTTTTCATTTTTTATCAGATTTTGCAAAACTTTTTATTTCCTGTTTCCTATTCTTTGTGGGTTTTTGTAACAGAGGGTACATTAAGCTGGTCGGTAGTTATTGATCAAAAGAATCCTTTAATACTCTATAAAGTATTCACGACTTTAAGCAGATGATTTGCATAAGTTCGTCTGTTAACTACTCTAACATTTGAAAGGATTGATCTATATGCTTGAAATTGTGCTCTAAATCCTATTGTTATGTTTCCAGGTTTTGTGTACTGTACATGAATCAGTACAGAAAGGAATCAGAATTTGGTATATTTTACTAATTTCTGATGAGAAAGACACAAAGGGTGACAAAGGGCGATTCTTCCATTTTGTGACGAAGCTCATCTTTCGCTCAATGGGTGTGTAAAAAAAATTGTCGATTTTGGAGTGATGATCAGCTAGAAGCAATGCAAAAGCTACCAATGCATCCAGGAAAATTCACAGTTTGATGGGAGTTATGGTGTGGTGGCATCATTCGACCGTACTTTTTTAACGATAAAACGAAATTGTGAATGTTGACTCCTTTTTTGTCCAAAACTCAAAACATTGACTTGCATGAGATTTGGTTAAAAAAGACAGACACACAGCACGAGAGTTCGTTGAGCATTTATAGATCGCTTGACTTATAAGGTTCATGTCTACGCAGACAAGATCGCTTCAATTGACACTCTGGAAAAGAGCATTAAAGCATTTATTCGTCGATATTTTTGAAAAGCTCACAATTTTATTAAACTGTTGGACCATTTGTGACGCATTCGGAGGCAACATTTGCATAAAATAATCTTCCCATCATTAAATTATATGGACAGTACTATAAAGAAAAATAAAAAGTTTCTTCATTTTTCAGAATTAATGTGATGTTAGTATTCTCAGCCGTATGCCTACAGGGAGTATATATCATTTGCTGCGGTCAAAACGTGCTTCATCGAAATAACTGTTTGAGACCCCAGGTCTCTTTAGACTCAAACCTTTTCAGGACATTTCGAGTCGATCTAGCGATGTCCGTCCGCCTATCTGTCTGGCTGATGCTCACGTATCTCTGTTTTATTATTATCAAATTCAGATCGAGTTCGGAGATGGGCAATATCGGGCAACTATTTCTGGTACCTCCCAACCAAAAAGTTCAAATTTTTGAAAGAAAATAATTAATCTCATAAAAATGGAAATAATCACCAGATTTTGTTCAAACTGGGAAATATCTGTCCATTCCTCCTGGTAACTCTCTCACGGAGGGTCATAAATTTGAATAATCATAACCTTATAAAATGTGAAATGATAATAGCCCGGTTGTCTTAAAAGGTACAACTCAATAATTCCACCAACTCTAGGTCTGGTATGAAGATGGTGTATATCGGACCACTTGGCACATCCCAATATTTTTATCAGCACAAGATCTGAATATGTAAATATGGAACTTATTGGCGCATTCCTTCTGATATTTGATACCACAAGGGAACAACATTTTGAATAATTATGAGCATCACAACATGCGAAAAAATCAGATATTTGCTTCAATCTTCGTGTAACTCAAAATCAATAGATGTAATATAAATATGGGTACGTGCCTCATAATTGGCCATCATTGTGAATAATCACAACACATATGAAAATATATTGTAATAAATTTCAGTTTCAGGATGATGATATACCATATGTTGGCAAAACCGACTGATACCTTTTAATTTGTTTTTTATTTATTTATTTTTTTTAACGACTTTCCTATAGCTTTTAATAAATCAACCTTAATTTCTTTGTAAATTGTAACATGGGTTTCTCGCTGGCTGAGGAAAACTCAATCGCAGCCAAGATCTTCATAAGGATCCACTAAAGCGAATTGACATCAGAGATAAATGGATGTTGTAATTAATGATTCCATATTCAGTTTGTTGACGTTAATCGGAAACTATGATGTAGGGACATCGGTTTGCTGACGATGTGCTGGTAGTCGGATATCATGATATTAAAAAATTAGGATGTAGACGAAGTATGTAATGGGAATAATGTTCGGGTTGCAGACGATTAAAAGTAAATTGATACCTTATGGGTGTTTGTCGAGTTGCAACAGGTTGTGGTTAATCGGGAGCTACGATATTGACGATATGAAGATGATCAGGAATTTCGACGAATAAACGTCGAGTGTTCAGTTCCCGTTCGATGGATAGTTAACCGGAAAATTGTTGAAGTGGCTTTCAGCTCGCAGGTGTTAGGGTCGTGTATAAGTATTGGCGATTGAATGGTTTACGAACTTTAATCGATCGCATTATGGTCTACCGTCTACAATTATCTTAACGTCTCTACTATAGATTTTGGTTGAAAAAAAAAAAATGTGTTGAATATCCTATTGGAAAAGAAAACCGTAATTAGAATAACAAAAGCTAGATCGAATTTTCTTTCCCAGCTAACAATTCACTTACATGGGGGACAGCAAATATTCAAATACTCAAATTACCCTTACATCAAGCCCGCAATGATTTACTATTCTTTTTGTGTAGCGTGGTTGGGAAATTGTCTAGTTTCTTTTAAAACATTTTTTTTTTTTCAAAATTGAATCATTGGTTCAGTAAAAGGATTAGTAGTCGAAATGGTTTCCATCACACACATGTATGATTGTTAGGAATCGAAAAACTATCTTGTTAATATAATTCGGAACGATTACTTCGGACATATTTTTTAGTGTTTTCATTTCTATGGGTATCAAAACTCGGCACGAAGGAACTACGATTAATGTGTACCGCCTCTTTAAAAAAAAATGTAAAAACTTTATGTTAATATTACTTTATATTATTTCACGTTAAGTTGATATATGCAAATGCATATATGTTTTTGTTTTTGGTCCAATTTAGGAAACATTAATGAATATTAATATAATATTATGACATTTTTATCAGGATCCAAAAAGAATACACCTAGAATCCAAATTTAACGTCACACGGAACAGCTATAGATAATGCATAAAATTTCCCGGTCTAGAGATATTGAAATAGTACCTAGGCCATTTCACAAATACGTAACTGGTCTTTTTTATGAATTGTCTTTTATTTAACATTCCAAATTACTTGGTATTTGCCAAGGCGCATCTGTAAACCAATTTCGATCTGATTGTGAATATTTAAAGTGTGTTCCAAATTTTTTGCAAAAACAAAATTAAGTAAATATTGCTTAGCTAATCAACTGGTGTATTAACTGAAATAAGACTCAATTTTTTTTTTTGGATTTTATCATTACTGAAATAAATGATGACAGAATCACAGAGTTTTGTAAACTATGACATTCTTTGAGTATATTAATGAAGTGTACATTGTATTTTACCCCCGTATTTTTTATTTTTACATTTATTTAATTTCAAAAAATGTATTTTTTGTTCCAGCCTTTGTTTGTGTCGTTGAACTCTATAGTTGTGTCAGTCGAATGTTGTTTCGCATTTGCTTAAAATCAAAATTATTTTTCTTTCACTCGAAGACGCTCAAAAATTGTAACTGACATAAACTGACAAAAAATCTGAAAATGGTCTGCAAAAAATCCCCTTTTGTCTGTCTATAACAAATATTTCGTGTGCAAGTAGATTTATTGGATTGATTTGTTGCATTAGTTAATAGAAATGTGAATGAAGATTGATTGATTAACTGATTAATTGTTTGCTTAATAAATGAAATCTAAAAAATCTTGATTGATACCGTGAAACTCCGCATTGAAACCTTTGCAGGCACTTTTGGCGGACACATATTCATTGCGTGACACCAAAGTTCATGAAAACGGAAAAGTGAGTAAAATGCATTTTTATTTCACTACATCTTTCATTTTATCACAATTTTTGGAATATGAAGAAAACAAAACGAAAAAACAACAACTCCAGCCACATACATACATACATTATTTACATATATAGAAAGATAACTAAACACCAACATTTTTTCCTGGTATTGGCAATTCTATTTTCATTTGATTTCAATCTCTTTTCATTAATAATTGTTTTGACCTCTGGCCGAATCTTTTCTTTTTATCTCTTATACACCAAAATAAGCACTTCTTTTGAACACACTGAAAATACTCTTCTTTCAATCTTTCCACTATCGTATTAGTAATTAAACTTGGCTTCTTATTTAATACCGTAAAATATACCCAGTACTACACCAATCGTAGAAACCCGTAGTTAGGAAGGTTTTCACAATTGAGTATATTTACATAAGTTTTGAAGTAGTCGTCCTTGGTACAAGAATATACAGCCAACAATATTTGATTGAAAAAGGATGAAATATTAAAATCAATTCAAAAGAGCAATGAGTGCTGTGGGCTGAAATAAGCATAGTTCGTTATGGAAAATATTACTAAGGAGTATTAAATTATTTAGTTGGGTAGTTCATGGACACAAAATTAAACATCAGTTTGAAATCTTGCTAAATTTACATCAACAAAGACTAGTTACCGAATTACAGGGTAAGATAAAAAAAACTAAAAAAAAAAATATAAAGAAAGTCAAACACCATAATTTTTACATATCTTTTTTTTAAATTTTATTGAATGAAATCAAAAAATGTCGAAAATAGCATAAAATTTTAGAATAAGTTTAGATTTGTTCGAATTGGTCACCTTTGGCACGAATTATGGCCTTCAAACGGCCAATGAAACAGTCACAAGCTACCCGAATGTTGCTTTGCGGTATTTTCGTTCATTCCCGGCGAAGCACTTGCTTGAGGTGATCGACACTTTGGTATTTTTTAGTGCCAACCTTGCTTTCCAAAATACTCCAGACACAATTGTCTAACGGATTGGTATCCCGAGATTTTTGGGAATGAAGCCAAGAACCTCATTTTGTAACCATTCTTGGTTGGAACGTGCTGAGTGCGATGGTGCTGAGTTCTGTTGGAATGTTTGCGTGCCCAAGGCTTTAATACACCCTCCAGAATATTTTCGCGATAATATTCAGCATTTATTCTGATGCCACGGTCGATTAAAACGAGCGGAGACCGACAATCGGCTGTTATGGCGGCACACACCATCACCATAGCCGGCGCTTGAGTTCTGGTTTTGGCCGGCGCTAGAGTCCATCTGACCTCTTTGGCAAGTAAACACGATCATTTTGTTTGTTTACAAACTGCTGGACAACGAATGTTTTCTCATCGGAGAAAACCAAACTCGGCAGTTCACCACTTTCGGCCAAGCGAAGCATATCTTTAGCTCTTTTGAGTATATTTTCTGTCTGTTGCGGTGTAAGTTCTTTCACTTTTTGGAATTTCAATGCTTTACCTCGAGCTCATTTCTTAATATTTGCCGAATGGAATATTGCGATATGTCCAGCTCACCAGCCATTTTTCGGCCACAGCGACGCGGGTTTCGATCAAGTCGCTTCTTTTCGATCCATTTCTGCTGATGTTGCTGTTTTCTTCCGTCCACTTCCTTGACGTCGGGCTACGCTACCAGTATCACAGTAACGAGCGATGGTACAAGACACAAAAGATTTATTCACATTTAAATACTGGAGTGCTCTAACGATAGTCACTTGTGCTTTTCCAGCCAAATATAACGAAATAACATTATCACGCTTGAATTCCATCACGGCATCTGGATATTTTCTATTTAATAATTGGCCCCGATTGTTGAAGAATTACTGATATAATGTCAACTCGCCCTTAAGATTCAATGTGACCCCGTGTCCTTAATCTAGAATTGGTTTCTTGCTTCTCGACGTTTGCCATTGAAATTCGTGAATCGAAAATCCTATTTTCGACTAATTGTCCTTAAGTATATAAAATCTATATATTTTTTCCAACGTTGAAGTTGTAAGAGTGATAAAGAAATTTCAGTTTTTTTTTCAGCATAGAACAAATTCTTTAAAAAAATAATATAATTTCTCAAAAACTATTTGTGGACAAAAAAGTAAGACTCCTTGGGCGAAAACAATAATCGACATATCTAAATTCAATAAAAATATATACAAAAATATTGTTAGCTGCATAACCTAAAAATGTAAAGCAATGAAATTCTAGCCATAGAAATCTAGTAATTTTTTAGCTACTAACACATTCACAGCTACCTAATACATACAGAAAAATAATAACTACTACAGCAACAAACCTATATTTTGCCACATAAATCAAAAGTATTCAAATAATGAATGAATTAATATCTATTTAACTTTTTTTATAAATACAATTACTTATATTAATATCTTCGAATTTTCTGTACGCCTACTTAGATTTGAATTCATATCACCCAACTGATTAATTTCAGGTTAATCTCACTGCCGGAGCGGAAGAACCCCCCTCCAAAGTTAGTTTATGTAACTCTTTTCTATTTCTCTCTTCAGATTTTGTCAACGCTTTTAGATTTAGAAACTGCTCTCTTGTTTGCACAAAACTTTTGGCACGGCTTAAAACAATTTAAACACTTCTTCATTAGTTTAATTCATTTCATTAGCGCTAGATTCGTATCTATCTGTAAATTATTTTGACATCTGTTTTGTTAATTGAAAATATTCGTAAGCGAAATAATATTCGTAAATCTTTAATATTTTATTGAAATTTCTTACAGCTTGATAAAATAAAATTTATATAAAAATGAAAAAAAAACTTTAGGAATTACGCTACGCGTAGAACTGCTTATGTCGTACTTTAATTGTTGTTGCTGTCATAACCTCATAAATATGCTATCAATTCTAGTTTTCATCTTACCATACATAAATTATTTTTTTCGAGACCGCCATTTAAAATATCGAAGGAAATGCCTATTTTTAGCAATAAGAGAAAAATGTAGATATACGATTCACAGAAAAGTTTTATTCTGCTTGGATATAATTATATTTACAAGAGCAAAACGATGCTATAACTTTGAGATACAATTATGAAGAACTAATGATGCATTACGAGGTGGTAAAAGAACATCGTGACGAAATCAGAACTTTCGAAACGGAATTTATACTGATATTTCAAAAAAATAATCCTTGAAGAGAACAAAGTAATATTTGTGCATTCATCGTTAAACTCGCTCGTGAGAGAACTACTTCGCCGGAAAGACTGGTAAACGTTTTAAAAATACATCGTTGTCCATAAAAACTAAAACGTTCGAAATGATGCCACAATTTTTTCCCGACAAAATTTGTCACTTAATTATATTATATGTTTTATATGTAAATATACTTTAAATTCTCTCAAATCTCCCTAAAAAATAACTTTTTTGGAGATATATCCAATTCTGAGATCTATTTAATATATTTCTACGAATATATATTACGGCTGTGGAGAACAAGTATTACAAATCGGATGAACAATATATATTGGAGCTATAGCTAGCACCAATTTTTACATACTTTTTTTCTAGGCTCAATTTAGTCATTTGGGGCACAATAAACGGCAAATCGGACGAAGATATATATGGAAGTTATATCTAAATTTTGACCGATTATCTCCAATTCCAATAGGGACTTTTAATAGACTTTTACTTTGTTTATAAAAATACATGGACAGATGAACATGCATAAATCGACTCAGAATGTGATTCTATGCAGATCATCAAAAGGAACTATGGGTCTATCTCATTCTTTTTTCCTGTAACAAAAAATGCACAAAGACATAATACTCGATATGGTTTTTTTCAGTTTTGCAGTTTCTTCGTTTTGACTTTTTACTGTAAAAAACGGGAATACGGTTTTAAGGTTATATATTATTTTGAGAGATAAGTGCAGATAATAGCTAAGAAATGCGTGATGTGGCAAATCTTGACAATCTCTTAAAACATTTTAAATATTTGCCCATGACGTGGGTTCCAAGAAGTAGAGAGCGACAAGAGAGTGATTTTAGGCCACCAACAATATTGATCTTCCGTTATTTCCTAATATCTCTGTATAACCCAACAAATAATTACGGGGGAAATCGGAGTTAGTGAAAGAAGAACTAAAAATAGATGACACATGTTCGGGCGTTTTGAAAGTTTTCTTAGCAAAGTAATTTAATTATTTCACATTTCTTGAAATATTATTGTTAATAATACCATGATTATTTTGGTCAGAAATGTTAACTCTCAAACTAGTACTTTTGGTATTTTTTTCAAAATATAGCTAAAAACTACCTATAAACAGGATCGTAGAAAGTCAAAATATTCTACTAAATTATTAATCATATAGTTCTACTATACATCAAAAATCTAAATCTTAACTAAAGAATTCATAAATATTAAAATACATTTTAGAGTTAAAGCTCTACTGCAAATGAGTTTATGCAATATTCTCCAACAAACAATCGTTTCAGAAGGATAACGCCAAAAACCAAAATATTCTTGATTAGATTTCACTATACGTCGCCGGTGAAAAGAAAATTCTTTTCTCCTTACATATCAAGCAAATATTTGCACCAATGTTGCCAAAAAACGCGAAAATATTTATTATTTTTTAATTAATATTTCCACGCCCTTACCTATCTGGTGGTGGATTAAGGCAGTCCTTCTCGGCAATCACATTTCCCGTAATATTTCTTTGTCTGCGTTTAGTCTGGCATCCGGCTTTATTGGTAAAAATGTCAGGCAACTTATCATCGCGTAGATTTCGATTTTGAAATAATGTCATAAAGCCCTGCTCAGATGTTACCCTTATTGACGCACTCCGACGTGTTGTTATGTATTCGAAATAAATTTACAAACTCGTGCTAAATATAATCCAATGGTCATCCAAAATGCTCGACCTTTTCCCTGTCCCTAACTCTCTCCTCATGTTGATAGCCTGCAAAATCAGGAAAATTTTATTTTATTTTTTTAGTTAATTAGAACCCATAAATTTACATCTCCATAACAGTAGGCTTTTATTATGTTGCAAAATTTCGTGAGGGTCGAACGATAATTACGACCTGTATATAATACCTTTAACACATAGTGTTGGGGGGTGTAGAAAAACTTCAGAAAGTGTACAATTCAAAATTGTAAGTCAAATTTAAACCAGTAAAGAAAGTCCTAAAGTCGGGCGGGCCGACTTTATGATACCCTATACCACTTTGCTAATTTAGTAGAGCTCCACATAACAATTAAAAGATTTTTTTGCGAGAATTTAATCATACACGCTATCAAAGGACTAAATATGCCGAAGCATTTGTATCTTTTAAATTCGGACTTGTATTGCCCATTTGGTGCAAAATTAATTTGAAATCAGATAAAGATATATGTGGGAGCTATATCCAAATCTGAACCGATCTCGATAACATTTGGCAAAGATATTTCTGAGCTATATTTGTTATATATTTCCTTGAATATCGTTGTTACGGAGTGCATATTACGGCTGTGGGTAACAAATACAACAAATCGTATGAAAAATATATATGGGAGCTATAGCTATATCTGAACCGATCTTCACCAAATTTGACATACTAGCTTCTAGACTCAATTCGGTGGCATGTGCCAAATTCCATACCATTTGGGGGACGTTTGGTGTACAATAAAAGGCAAATCGGACGAAGTTATATATGGGAGCTATATCCAAATCTGAACCGATCCCGATAAAATTTAGCAAAGGTATTTCTGAGCTGCATTTGATATATTTTCCCAAATATTGTTGTTACAGAGTGCATATTACGGCTGCGGAGGACAAAAATAACAAATCGGATGAACAATATATATGGGAGCTATATCATACAATATATATAATAAATGCGACCTGCATTTTGTTCACACGAATACATGAACAGACGGACGGACGGACAGACATGCATAAATCAACTCAGAAAGTGATTCTATGGAGATCCTCAAAAGTAACTGTGGGTCTATCTCGCTTCCTTCTCCATGTTACAAACAAACGCACAAAGACATAATACCCCTACCACTATGTGGTGTAGGGTATAAAAATCGCATGCTGTTAAAAGTATGGCAACTATTTAAAAAATGTAACAAAAAATATTCACATTTTTAATGGCATATTTTTACGCGATTTTCTTTTTCTGGCAAGAGACCATTCAGAATTGATGAGAATTGTGAAAATCAGTCCAGCGGTTCTTGACTTATAAGCGGTCTAACTAACAGCACCTTCTTTGATATATGAGATTATATATAATTTGCTATATATGAAATCTCTTGGATATGAGCATCAATGTAACGGTCAGAAGTGACATTTTCTTGTATTTGTGATTTCGTTAGGATTAAAAATAGCCGCGGTTTAGTGCCTAAGTGCCTAGCCTTAAACTCTAACTCCATGCAAAATTACGCAGTATCGCTAAACTGACCAATAATTCAGAAACATCTTATCGAGAAAAAACGTATCATCTATGTCTCAATGTGATAGAGATGGCATATGGAACACTTAAGCATGACTCTTACCCAATACACTTATCGATGCAGGGTTGGCAGCAGAATATTCAGTAGGTGTGCATTAACACCTAAAACAACTCCAGTATTTTAAGTCGATTTCAAAATAGCTGTCATATAAAAGAGTAAAAATTCACTTCTGCCTTGCCCTTCCCCCTGATTGACACCCACGCCGTACGTTAATATTTCTGCTACTTTGCAGGGGATTTCGGTACAATGTTAGACTGCAGCCTTCCGGACGGATGTCCTTGTCTTGGTCCTTCCTGCTTTTATCCCTCTCGTCAGTCATACATTTAACTGATTTCAGATCTGACATCTCTTTCACACACATGTACATAGAACTTTTAAATTATGTATAACCTTTTAGACTTCTTGAATATATCGAGGATAATTTTACTGATTAATGATTCAGCCTTTTTATTGAATTCAAATTCCACATATTAAACGTCAACTTTATTACATAAATAAAGTATAAAAGGACGTAAAAATTAAAAAAAAAAATCAAATATTTTTTTAAACAGACGAAACGCTTTCATATGATAAATTATTAAAACCAAATCACTTATGTTTTAGCCATCTACTATAACCATTTCATTCCAATTGAATTCTTCAAGTATTATTGAATTCTTCAAGTATTATCCATGTGTCTTGAAATTTCAACTTCATTATTAAAATATGTAATTTTTTGAATATTTAATCGCAAGAGTAGATTTTCTACAGTTTGTATTTTTTTTCAATCGAACTTTAGTTTATTTAGCATGCCATATAATGCAACAATGTAATCTCTCTAAAATTTAAAGTTTATATTGAACGAAATATTCATCATACATCTATGAATGTATTTGAATGTCAAATGTGTTCTTTTTTTACAATCGAAGCATTCTATGTGGTTATTGGGTCATTTAATTTCCATTGGTCCGCCCGAATAGTTAAATAAAATTTGTAAATAATATTTGCTTCAGTGTATTATATTCGTCAATATACATATCTATTTGCCACTGCTTGAGCTCAGTGATTTTTTTTAATTTCTAATTTTTATTAACACTTTAATTTTTTTATTTTTGTTATTTTCTTCGGAAACAATTAAAACAAACAGGTATCTCTGACAGACTCCGATCCATCGCAATTTCGTGATTTTATTCACAACACCGACTACGAAATTAAGCAGCATCAGCCACTACGATTAAAGAAGAAGGTCTACGAGTTCTACACAGCACCCATAACGAAATTCTGGGCTGACTCGGTAAGTAGTTTATAAAATTTTACATCGATTTTCACTGAGAGTAAGGTCCTAAAACCCTTTTGACTAACAGAAGTCCCCGAATATATTGTGAAGATCAGTTGGAACACTTTGTAAATACAGGGTAGTCCAGAAAGATCGAGGTGGTAAACTTTTATTTAAGACATATTTGTCTATCTTTTTTTTTAATGCAGTACATTTATATGGAATATTTTAAGATTAGTTATTAAAAATGATATCCCGCAAGTGGTGACCATTTTTCCATCATCAAATGTGCTCTTTCCTACACATTTGCCATGACCTTTTGTAAAACTTCCGGTGTTATATTTTTAATTTTGTCTCGAAGGGTTAGGGTTAGATTAAAGAGGGGCGATTCAATCGCCACATGTCCTGGTGGACATGCACTTAAGCCAGTTTAGGTTTGTTGTGCGCAGTTTAAAGTCTATTATATTTGGAATTCAGTTGCCTTAACAAAATTTTCTTAACTGTTTTTTAATTAACCATGATTTGATTAAGTTCTGGTATGGAGTCGTCCCCTAAATATTGCGATCGAATATTTGCAACCGTTGGGCATTGGCAGAGGAAATCCTGCAATGTTTCGTCATCTTCCCCGTATGTCCCGAATATGCTGTTATCTGCACATCCAATTTTATACAGATGTGTTTGTTGGCCCAGGTACCGCCTAAGAATGCCTCTTGCCCCTAATCTCTTTCTTACCTAGTGAGAAGTAAGAGCCGCCCAAAGGGTTTTTGTGTTTTTCCCTACGCCTTCATTGTTTCATAAGGATATGTGGGCATTTTTCCGATTTCCTTAACTCTAGCTTACTACTATAAGTTTATTATTGCTAATTCCCTGTATGTTTTGGCGAGAGAGTTTGCTTTATTGTTACCTCTAACTCCCACATGACCTGGTACCCATATAATGCGTACTGAGCCCTGTTGAGAATAGTTGTTAAGCGAGTTTATGCATTCCAAATCAGTTAACAGTTTTGGATTTTATAGCGATCTTACTGTTAGGACCTTCACGGTGGACGGTCTCTTGATAGCATTAAGCTAGTTCAGACACTCTGCCAATTTCGTCTCGAATATTGGTTTTAATTCCTCAAGGCATATTAAGATAAACATTCCCTATTAATAACCCCAAAGGAAAAAGTCTGGAGCTTTGAACGCGAAGGCCGATTAAAATTGAATCTACGCGAAATTATTTCTTCACCAAAGATGTTGCGTATAAGTGTCATTGTGGCTTGTCTGCGTGCACTGTTTTGAAAGTTTTCCACGACAGGCCTTACAAAAATTTCCAACATGACCCGACATCGATCACCTCGTTCATTTTCAATAAATAAGAGCCTTTCTGAAAAGACACCGCTCCAAACGGTACACTTAACTGGGTGTAATTGTCGTTGATGAAGTACTCTCAGGCTTTCCGTAGCCCATGTCGTACAGTTTTGCTTATTAACGAATTCATTTAATTGGAAATTGGTTTTATCGCTCTTAACTAAGTTTCGAATAAAATTAGGATTCTCTTGTGATTTTTGCTGAAAATAAATTGCATAGTCAAGTTACTTCAGGTTATGTTTCGGAGTCTATTTTTGCTGAATTTATATGGAAACATTCTTATGGTATGCAACATTCGTTGCAGCGAAGCTCTTGAGAGCTGTGTTGAACGTCTCCTGATTGATGTTTCTGGATACTCACCTGTATATTGTCAAACATGTGGAAAGTTCGAAGTCTGCCGAAACCTGGAAGATTCCTTATTGCCCCTTCTTGTCAAACATTTGCAACTAGACAATTTATTGGTGACTGAAAAGGTGCACATTAAATTATAAATTGTCCAAGTATTTTTTGCAAAATACTGAAACAAAAAAAAATTATATTAAACAAGTTTTTTCTGTGCCGCTGTGTATCAAAGTTCGTATGTGTCGGTTATTTTGTTTGTTAGAATTAATAATAGATGATTTCATTTTACAACTCAGACGTCAATCATCATTCACAGCAAAATTCTTGCCGTCAAATATCCCATTGCCAGGTAATTTAAACAAACTACATTTTCCATCAACAGTAGACAAAAGTGTTTTTTGCGATTTTTTCATAGTTGAAAAACGAATTGTACTTATAAAAATACTTTTTGTCATTATTTTTGGATAGCTGGTAAGACTTAATGTATGATGTTGCCAAGTGTCTGCCAAATGTTTACTCCTTTCGTGAAAAACATTTTTCGCTGTGTAGTGAAAGTGTTGACATTTGACATTGACATTTTTCACCCGAATTTCGGATAATATTATCCAATCAAATTCTAGATTTTAGACGTCTGCCTTGCCCAAAACTCTCTATTTTTTGTAAAATCATCTGGTTCATAGTTGTGACCTGTACAGCGATTGCAAAATCAGTTTTTTTGTCCATTTCATATCTTAAATACCTCGACCTTGGAAAAAAACTTTTATGTGATCATAATTGCTGCCTGGAATTTTTAATAAAGTTTTTAATGGTCGGACAGACAGATAGACAATGGGACAATAGGCAAATTTAAAGATGAGTCTAAGATCAAAAATTTAATGTGCTAGAAACTATAGGGCTAAAATAGGCCCTCTCAACATAATGATGAAAATGTTTTCTTGTTTGGTCCAAATACTGTCATTATTAATTCTCATGTAATAAGAATTCTAACATCTTTCATATCTTTTTAACAGATCGCTTACATGTTTTTCCTGGGAATGTTCACATTTACGGTTCTGGTGAAAATGGAACCAATGCCCCGATGGCAAGAAATATATTCCATAGCTTATATTACTACCTTAGGTTTTGAAAAAATCCGTGAAATTGTCTCCTCCGAACCAGTTGCCATTACGTAAGTCTCTTTGCTTTACATTTCCTTGGGCGAATCATAATTTATCTCTTTTGAAATTTTCTTGCAGACATAAATTTTCCGTATGGGCTTGGAATATGTGGAATCCGTGTGATGGAGCTGCTATAATACTTTTCTTTATTGGCCTTTCGCTGCGATTTCGACCGAACACAATGGACATTGGGCGAGTTATCTACTGCGTCGACAGCATCTACTGGTATTTGCGAATACTAAACATCTTGGGTGTTAACAAATACTTGGGTACGCAATGGGTTAATCTATTTTCTTTGTTCACATTTTAATTGATTTTCCATGCTGTAGGTCCTCTCGTTACAATGATGGGCAAGATGGTCAAGAACATGATTTATTTTGTTGTCTTATTGGCTGTGGTTTTGATGAGTTTCGGCGTTAGCAGACAGGCCATACTCTTTCCAAACATGGAACCAACATGGCGTCTATTCCGAGAGGTAAGATTTCAATGAAATTTCTAAGACCCTCTGAACAATCCTTTAGGAGGTGTGTGGGAGTGTGTGTGCGTGTGTGTATGTATATATTTTTTGGACATGAATGTGTTACCTGATCATCATTCTGATTTGATAAGATTTGGTAAATAACATAAATACACACGCCAAATAACATACGTACAAGACATATGTATATTCTGCAGTGAGCAAGAATGTAGTGTAAAAAAATAAGAATGAAATTGAACAAATTATTTTATTTTTTATAATTTTATACAACATTTTCATTAATCAGACATAAATGCATGGACATGTCTTCTTACGAGTCAAATACACAGTTTCTCCTTCTATTACAACTTAAGAACACGCTTTTGTGAAAGTTATTGTTTCATCGATTCATAAATTTAATGATTGAAAACACTTACTAAGAATCCAATCAAACTCAACCAGCCGCTCAGATGTAACATGTCGATTCGAGTTGCTGATACGAAAGGAAAAAGTGGTGAGCAAACACGAATCTATCGAAGCTCTCTTTTCGCAATCAAACAGCTCACAATTGAATTGTTCATATTGGAACAATCGGCTCGGTATGATCGATTTGATTTTTTTTTTAGAGTGAGTGATTTGATTAATACACATAAGAATCTGAGTGAAATATTATCTTGTTCTTTTACTTAGCATTTCATAACTAACAGAAGTTCCAACTAAGCAAATCGGTACAAATGGTATTCAATAAACAAACAATTTTAATTTTATTTGGGTTTTTGGAAAATTAGACTTCAGTTGTTTTTATCTAAAAAAGGAAAACATTAGTTTAAAAAAGGAACACATTTATGGTATTCAATAACCCAAAAATATTTAAGCATTTTTATGGATTCTACAATATAGGCCAATATGTTCCACAAAAACTTCAAATTTTCGGTTGCCAGGCCGTGTGAGTTTCCACTTGCAATTCTTTCTGTTGCACAGTTGTGATTGCTCTCTTCAACTCAGGTGTGTGATCAACTTAACGCTTTCAAACGCTCATATTTAATTACAAGTACAGTTATTCAAACTTATTGTTCGATTCGATCAGATGCGAATATGATCTTTTCTTGCAGTTCAAGTCAAACGACTGCATTAACAAAAATCATTTAAGAAATCGATATCGATCATACTCGTTACATTACTCTTTACTCATTATGAAGCGTCACAATAAAAATCAGATCGATTATAAAAAAAAAATTATATCACGCTCCAATACATATTGGGCCACTATGCATTAGTACCAAATTTAATACCACAGGAATATTTCATGTACAGGGTGAGATAAAAAACTGCAACAAAGTCAAACGCCATAATTTTTATGTCGGAAATAGCATAAAATTTTAGGAAAAGTTTAGATTTTTTCGAATTGGTCACCTTTGGCACGAATTATTGCCTTTAAACGGCCAATGAAACCGTCACACGGTGATCGAATGTTGCTCTGCGGTATTTTGACCCATTCCGGCGAAGCGCTTGCTTGAGGTGATCGACACTTTGGTATTTTTTAGTGCCAACCATGCTTTCCAAAATACTCCAGGCGCAATATTCCAACGTATTGATATCCGGAGATTTTGGTGGGCATGATGCTGAGTCCTTCTGGAAGGTCTGCGACAAAAATGTTTGCGTGCCCAAGGCTTTAATACACCCTCCACAATATTTTCGCGATTATATTCGAATTTATTCTGATGCCACGGTCGATTAATACGAGCGGAGAGCCACCATCGGCTGTTATGGCGGCCCACACCATCACCATGGCCGATGCTTGATTTCTGGTGGCCAACCGATCGTGCACATTTTCAGCTGACTTCTTTGGCAAGCAAACGAGATCATTTTGATTGTTTACAACACGAGCTATTTTTCGGCCACTACGACGCGGGTTTCGATCAAGTCTCTTCTTCACTTTTCGAACCATTTCTGCTGATTTGCTGCTTTCTTCCGTCCATTTCCTTGACGTCAGGCTACGCTACTAGTATCACAGTAACGAGCGATGGTACAAAACACAAAAGATTTATTCACATTTAAATGCTAGAGTGCTCAACGATAGCCACTTGTGGTTTTCCAGCCAAATATAAAAAAATCATACTACCACGCTTGAATTCCATCACGAATTAGTTTTTTTTTTTCTGGAAAATTCTCACCAAAACGCTTTTGTACGCTTGTAAATAATATAATGAGCTGTCACTGGAATAATTTTAACAGTTGTCGGACGAGCAGTCTGAAGTTGATTGAAGTTTTTTCATCTCACCCTGTATTTGTTTTAGCATTTCAATACAATGTATTCAGATTATTATGCTCTGAACTACATACAAGCAAATTATATACATAATTTGATCGGACAAAATAGGCTTCATTATGGCTCATTAAAAAGCTTCACCAAAAAATTATTTCGATTATTGAAATATTTTTTCACGGCTTCCCATGTATGTGGAACCACTGGACATTTTTTATAAAGCTCACATACATATATATAAAAAATAAAGTAATTAAAAGAAATGTCTCTTCACACCGAATTTCGAATAATCCTGCTCTAAAAATACACCCAATACATACTTTCGTGGAAGTTAAACCCTTAAGATTTTCATGCGACAACATATCGGTCTGTTTTAATGGGGGGAAATGATTTAAATCATGGGACAATATTCTATTTATTACGTTCGACATGGCAATTTTCAACTACAGTTGTGATAAAATGATATTCAGTTAATGGAGTACATACACATTTATTTTTAGATTTTTTTATTTGGATGCATTGACGTCGTGATTAGAAATTATATTGCATTTGCATTTAAACTAATTAATAACACTTGTTTTTATCTTTTATATCTCTCTTTTTCCTATCTCATGGTATCTAATCGACGTGACTTCATTTCATTCACAACAAATCATTAAAAAATAAAAACAAACAATTTCTTTGTGGTGTATTTAAAAAAATATATATTTTGTGTGTTTCTCTTTTTCGTTGGATGTACATTTAAATGTGATATTTGATGGACTATCGAATAAAATTCACACACACGCACACATACGGACGCTTGTACATATACGAACGTAGGTAATAGCAGGCTCCATTGTGGCACCAGGATTTTTAGGCGCCATCGGTCATGGTAGTCGCGCACACAACGCTCGAGATCCAACTGGAAGTGGACACTCGTCATCCTACCACCGCGGTCATTACGGCGCAACATCAACCACTACAACAAACTTGCACGCCAATTCGACATCAACAACTCACCATGCCACAACATCGGGTCAGATCTTGCAGAGATCTGAACTCTTGAACAACCTCACCGGCCAACAATTATCGAATGTAAAGAAGTCTCCTCTTTACAGTTTCCTCTCTTTTTTTGCCTTGGAATGAACGCCAATAGATTGGCCAAATATTTGGTGTTGTGCTAGCATCGTGATACTCCTCTATCCCTCTTCAGTTTCCACTTTCTTTTTCTATTTTGTATTCATCTTAATTTCGGTCCTAAGCGGCAACTAGTTGTCTTACCTTATAATCTATTCCTAAAAAACAAAAGCTGAAGAAATAACATTGTTTTTCTTGAGTTTCTTCCTTTTGAAGCTTCTGGAACGTTATCTCATTGTAGCTGTGCCCTCCCTAACCAGCCACCGCCACTTTAGTTACTCCTTGATTTTTATTCGTCTCTTTCTTTTTCTCTTTCTCTTCTCTTCTGCCTATTCAAAGGACAACTAAATACTTATTTAATCCCATTTAGTTTAAGTGTCTAATTTAGACTTTTCCCCAAAGAAACAAAAGATAATCTAATGCATGACTAATCCTCTATTCGTAATCTAAGTATGAAGATATGAATATACAATCGAACACGATACTAGGGCAATGATTTCTAATAGTCCCCTTATTTTGGCCTTAAATCGCAATGAATTAAGCTTACCATAGACGCGTTCGACTGTATATATATTCGTAAGAATATATTTCTTTGTATATATAAATACATGTATTTATGTAAAATGAATGTGTATGTACTCTACTTTGTATTATTCCATAATAATAATAATAATAACAACATCAACAACAACAACGAATAAACCATGGCTAGGAAGAAAATCAAATGCACGCCATAGCGAAGAAATCGTATACTAGATGCGTTTCAAAACCGAAAGCAAATATTTTTGTGACTCTCGAATATTGAAGTTCGTTTTTATTTTCTTTTTTCAACCAAAAATACATACATACATATGTAGACTGTCTGCTTTTAGCTCTTCTTCTTCCTACAGAAATGCATACAAATATTGCTGTCAAGACCATCTGTCAAAGATACCAAAAAAAAAGGATTGTACAATGGCTTTAATAACAATACCAAAGAACAAAAAAACATAATTTAGTTGCTTGTCATACAAACTCCTATACTCAATGTTGTATGCCTATAAATGTCGGTGTGTGTATGTGTGTGTGTCGGTGTGTACAACAAGTGCATGTGTCATATATTAATTAATTTAATTGACAATATTTTCATTGTTTTTCCAGGTCACCTATCAGCCATACTTCATGTTGTATGGTGAAGTGTTTGCGGATGACATTGATCCACCATGCGGAGAAAATCCAGGACAAACCGCTTGTGTCACAGGTTCGTTATATTAACACTATTCTAATTAAACTGCAACGCATAGGAGTTTAAAAGAGTGCGAGAAGTGCAAACCAAACATCGAGGGTATTTCTTTTTGTATTTGATATTTGAAGTTAAAAAAGTAGAAAGAAAAGAATTAATTAAAGCAAACCTTGGAAATGTTTTAGACATATGTTCATACTAGTTATTATTGACATTCCATTCCATAAATTATTTGATATTCCATTATTCCTCCATGTCTCTTTGATCAAAGAATATGTCCCACTTGATTCAAACTTGGTATATCATAATTTTACACTGAGCGACTAAATTCAATTTTTTTTATAAACACAGGAAAGCCACAGTTAATTACGGAATCAGAGTTGTATAGGCATTTTAAAAATTTACATCCAAAAAAAATAATCTTAGTAGAGGGGAGAGTTCCAACATCTTCCACATTTTTCTTATCAATATTTCTTAAAATCCTGACGTATTAGGTACAGAGTGTCTTCAGCGCTATTACTCATAACAATACGCGGATTCTATCGGTTTTAGGCCTCAAGCGAGTCATCTGAGCTGCCTTTAAACAGGATAGTAACAAATTACAATATTCTGAAAATTTTTATCAGGTCAGAGAATACATCAAAACTCTAAATCTTACACAAATACCAAGAAATTACAAAAATTAAAAACACATTCAAGGGTTGAACTCGTACTTCTACGAGCTTAGCCGAAATTCTCCTGCAAAAATATTCTTCAATATGTCTCTAAGCAAAAGAAATGTGTATATTCAATATGTACCATAAAAATATCGTAATTTTTTATTTTCGACAAATTTAGAACCTTTTCCGAATTTTATACAACTTTTCTACAAATTCTGTGCAATAGCCAATCTGGGCTATAGAAAACTTTAAACCACAGGTTGGTAGATGAAACACCAAAAGAGCAGTGAGTTTCCAAGACCAAATTTGTCAGTGCTTTTATATAGCCTTAACCATTGACGAAGGGACCCCAAAGTTTTGAACTACTTTCGGAAACATTGAATATAGAGCTTTGAAAGTTTTTAGAGAACTCAGGATTCCTTTAAGAATCAATAGATTAAAAAATGGGCAAAGTCGGTTCACATCCATACCAGAGAGCTGCAACGAGTATGATTGATTGCTCAAACGAGAGAAAAATTAATTCACTCACATGAGTGATTCGATAACGAACTAACGTTGAATTGGGACGATAGTCTCGGATGAGTAAATTCGTTTTGATTCTTCTTTGTAGAGTGAGTGATTTGATTGGAACACAGAAGATCGAACCTGAGCGAAATCCTATATTGTACTTGTATTAAGCATAGCATATCTAAAAGCAGCCCTCGTTAAATAAATTGGAAAAAAATATTTTTTAACACACAGAAAAATTATAATTTCATTTGAGTTTTTGGTATATTAGACAAAAACTAAAAGAGTGCTGGACAAGAGTAGAAACTACTCAATTTCAAATTCGAGCGAGTTTTTCGGAGGTCTAGTATTGATGTTTACTTAAATGTAATGAGAGATGATATTGTGGAATATTTTGACCTTATATAACAAATTTGAAGAAATCTTAATCCGAAAAATTCAAAAATGTGTTGCATAGTGTTATTTTCAAATTAAGTATAAGTTCTAATATGGGCAATTACGGACCACTTCTTCCTGTACAAATCAATCAAGCCTTGATCTTGTCACAACAAAATAGTCATTACGAATCGGGACATTGGCAGGAATTGTGGATTTTTCTTAAACAAGTTTAAAGCGTTTATGTAATATGTAGAATTAGAAAATGTTTTTTCTAATATCCTTCTGAACAAATTCGAATTATTAGAACATCCTGTGGCTGAAGAATAGTGTTTTGAATACTTTGAATTTTCATTTGCCATACATTGTCAATGCATTGGTATTTTATCTATCGGAATATTGATAAAAACAAATCCCTCATTTTTTCCTCTCATAGGTCACTGGGTAACACCCATCACAATGTCAATGTATTTGTTGATAGCAAATATTCTATTGATCAATCTCCTGATTGCCGTTTTCAACAATATTTTCAACGAAGTCAATTCAGTTTCGCATCAGGTAAGTGTCAATAACAGCGCACAGTGTCCACATTGGAGAACTAATGAAATCTGAATTTATTTTAATTCCGACTGCCGTTCCTCAGGTTTGGATGTTTCAACGCTTCACCGTCGTCATGGAATACCAACAGAAACCCGTCCTACCGCCACCCTTTATTGCCTTCTGCCATTTCTACTCGCTGCTCAAGTATTGTATACGCAAAGCCAAAGGTGAGAGAGGGATGAGAAAATTAAGTTTTATTCCCTGTGAGTTTTAATTACCAGCTCCTAAACAAATTTAACCAATAATGTTTCCTTTTTTCACTTTTACTTTTTATGTGTCTGCATTTTGTTGCACTTGTTGTATTGTTGTTGTCGCCTTCGTCTGTAATATCTTACCGCCATGATATGTTGCGCTCGTTAACTTCATTTCCGCGACGATTCGTTCGATATTGCATTTCATCACTCACACACACGAACATATGTATGTCACTGTACGTGTGATGGTCATGATTGCTGCATATCTGGCAATAATTAATCCATCGGCCATCATATTAACATAAATTTACTAACCAATGGTGGTGGTGATGATGATGAGACGATTTTTGGAAAATTCGCATCGAATTCAAATCAATCAAATTCTCGCTCGAATGTTTAAATCAAAATTTCGCCTCTATGGAAATGTCATAACAAAAAAAAAAAAAACAAATCATATATTTAATATTATCGATAAACACACACATTCATATGTAACCAACTACTAACATTGTAAATATAAATAATTGTAATTGATATTCTTTTTCTTTCTTTAATGGATGTCTTTGTGGCTAATTTTTTGAAACGAAATATTCGCTCTTTGATGTTTTGTGGGATATATATGCTCCCTCCATTGCCATTTCAATGTTCGCTCATTCATGCATTCCCTTTGTCACATCTCTCTCTCTCTCCCATCGTCACATGTCCTGGCCACAACACCTTGTCTGTGCTCACATCAAACCACTCACACACACAGGATTGGAAGTACAGCGAGACAACGGTCTTAAGCTCTTCTTGGAAAAGGATGACTTGGAACGTCTGTACGACTTTGAAGAGGAGTGCGTTGAGGGATTCTTCCACGAGCAGGAGATAATCCTAAACCAGTCGACCGAAGAACGCGTCAAAAATACAACCGAACGTGTAGAGACGATGGCCCAGAAAATTGAAGACATTAACCAAAAGGAAAATTTGCAAACAGCCACTGTTCAGGTGAGTTAAACGTGTATGTCGAACATTTACACGCATACACACACAGTTACATGGATATGCGGTCTCTCTGCCGCTGTGTGATAATGACTCTGTCGAATGTCAGTTTGTTTGATGTCAATCCACTTGACATGGGAATGATGAAAACCAAATTTCTCTTTTTATTCTTGTGACCTTTGCATTATGGCCTGTCATTTGCTGTCAAAATGGTGCGTAATAGCATTTGAGCTGTGCAAATATCCGACCGAAAATAGATGTTATCATTTTTCTCACAACGAAATATTAAACTTTCAAATACTCGAACTATGTTGCTTTAAACATTGAATGTCATTTGGGGGCATAACACCTCTAAGCTAAGCTTTGTAAATTTCATCCTAAAGGGAAGCGGAAAGTGGTAACGGGTAAATATATCAAATACAGATCAGAAATATCTTTGCTAAATTTTATCGAGATCCGCACTATCGCACTATCACCATAGCCGGCGCTTGAGTTTTGGTGGCCAACCAAAGGTGCACATTTTCAGCTGACCTCTTTGGCAAGTAAACACGATCATTAAAAATGACAGCAGTCTAAAGTTGGTTGCAGGTTTTTCATCTCACCCTGTAATTTTCAACATAATTCAATATATATAATGAATGTGGGTTTTTATTGACATCCGAAAATTGTCCAATACCCGTTGCATCAATCAAAAAAGGATGTAATCTGAGTTTTTAAATCCTAATTCGTAGAAGACCGCATCCACAATTATTGTTTTTAATTAATGTTTTGAAGTTGCGCTAAGGACATTGTCATAATTTAAGTTTTTATATGCTGGAGGATATTGAGGCCGTTTAAGGCCGTTTTTAAATGTCCCTACTATGGTCGGTTTGTTAACAAAATGCCGGACACTTGCTAGTTAAATGTATTATTGAAACAAATGCGAATTCTGCAGAAGCCTAAAAATAATTAGATTTCGCATTCAACAACAATATATGCCGTTAGGTTTAATCTAAAAATACTAAATTTAATCTAACAACGCTTCTGATTTCAATAAAATATATAAATTTTCTTTAAACTACTTCCTTATTTATTTTTAGAATATTGAATTCCGCATACGCAAAATGGAAGAATCTTCTGAGCAAATACTAAGTCATTTGGCCGTCATTCATCGCTTTATGTCGATGCATATGGGCCAAGAGGATTTGAATGCGTCCAATATGAATATTGGTCCTGGAGATTTGCAGCGGATTCGCACAGTATCAATGTCGGACAACGAAGCTGGTAGCGGAGGTGCTGGTAGTGGCGGCACCGGTGGAGGTGGCGGCTGTTCTGGCGGTGGCGGTCTTATATCAGCTCAAAACAGTCTTCAGGTATCAAGTCAATAGATTTATTGTGTTACAATCTAGAAATTAACTTTTGAAATGTCCCATTCTATAGGTGACCAATAGAAAACGTTTCAATCGTTCGCTCACCGAGGTACGACCTGATGCATACATTTTTGATGATGGAACCCACTTTGAAGTGGTACCTGTACCTGAAGAGCCAGACGAGGTTGTCAAATCTAGAGAAGCTCTCAATGAGCAAGTGGTGCGTAAAGTATCGGTTCAATCAGAATCCGATTCAGACATTTATATACCGCTCTCACAACGACCATCAACATGTGAAACTGTCAAGCGAACCCCCTATGTGACTGTTCGCCAAGACACTGGTGCGAGTACTGAGAGCAAGGACACCCTAACACCCCTGGGTCATGATGACGACCAAACTCTTGTCGGAGAAACTTCCGATGAGACGGGACCAGACATTAACTTTGAAGGTAACTACCAGCATACATTCAGGTTTGTTCATATGTAAATGTTATTAATGTCTTGCAGCTGCCAGGCATCGAGCTATGCGTCAACGCACGGTTTCTTTATGTCGCAGAAATTCTGAGACATGCTCAATAATAGGCGACATCAGTCGCTCTCACATAAGTCTGAATCAATTGCATCTGTCGAGGCGCCAGATGAGTCTGACACACTCAGAGCCGGATAGTGATAAAGAGGGTGCCGCAGGTATGTGTATAGCCCTTTCATTTCTGAACACCCTTGCTCCATTTGTATTTCTCCTCCCCCCACCATTCGAAGACAATACCATCCACACAGATTGGTTAGTTCTTCGAATTATAAGAGATTGACCAATATCCTGATGTAGAGGTATTGCCTTTGAGTTCACTCTGTGTCTCTCTCTCGCTTTATGTTGTAAAGTAACGGTGTGGTGACTGACTCTCTTTCTCTCTCCTTTGTTGTCCTCAATGTTCAGTTCATTCATTCAATCATTCCTTCCCCTCCTTCAATTTCGATCACATTTCCGTGTAAATTTTTTTCTGTAAAAATATGTATTTGAAATTAAAATTTTATTTTTCCCAATCACAATGAAAACGGAAAACGTTTTCTTGTGAACCAAAAAAAAAATAATGAAAATGCAATTTAGGAAAATCGGTTCTGCATGCAAAGCCTTCGAGAAATATTCTCCTGAAATTGCATAGCGAATACACTTCGATTACGGATGAATTAGAGAGTGTTTGCCATATGATTGCCTCGCCCACGGTGTCATTGCCAAGTCACAAGAGTAAGTATTCGATATTGTACAAATGTGTTTATATATGTATCCATAAATATGTATATCAATGAGAGAAACTATTTTGAATTGCTTAATTTAATGTTCAATTTTAGATTGTTGTAAAAACTAACATATCAATTGCTGGCAGGATAATACATTTAAAGTAACATTGAAAAATACTTTTTGGGACACTTTCACTTTTTGTATCACTCTGTATGGAATTAGGAATTATGTCTTCATGCAAATTGTTTTCAGTTCGGGAACTTAAAATTGTAATAAATCTTCAGCACAAAGCATATCGTCTTATATAAATAAATATTTAAAATAATAGAGCGATGAGTGACTGTCTGATTCATCATCGACCAGACGAAACGTCTGATGCTAGAATCTTGAAGCTTTACATCTGTGTATGAATGACATTAATTTGGATTTTTGGAAATTCGAAATGAGTGCACTAAAAGTAATAGAGGGGATAAGATTGATCTAGAATCCTGAAAATTGTAATGAGAGTCCCAGATGGAATGTAGAATAGATGTACTAAAGGGCTTATGGAAAATCGAACTGTAAATGTACTAAAATTACTAAAAACCACGCAATTGTGTACCATTTGTGGATGGATAGAGGTAAAATCTTGACATTTGGTATAGGATTTAAGTTGGGGAAGTAGGTTTGGTAACAGAAGGGGGTGGTTATTGAAATGTGCATTAAGTTTAAGATCTGTACAAAATGGTGCGTCTGGGTGAACGATGGAGCTGAAATTTTCAAAAATTCGCATTACAAATGAAATAATTAGCATTACAAATGAATAATTGGAATTCTCGAATTATAACTGAAATAATTTGAATTACAAATAGAACTCAAAAAGATGTAGAGTACAATTATTATTCACCCTTTTTCTACTTGTCCGCCGTCACTTTTGGTATGGCATCACTTTTTTTCGACCTCGACACTATCTGGTATTCCGTAACGGAGTCGACTTTTTTATATTTCTTTTTTTTTTCCAATTCTTCCACAATTTTATTTTATTGCTCATTTTTATTTTATTTTGTAAATTAAATCGAATATCAAAACATTAAAAATCAAAACCTATAACGACAAAATCAGACCCAATACAAGTCTACGTCGCCGTCACATTTACCTACATGATACCAAAAAACCTCACAAATGGCAAAATACCCAATTAATATGTCAACTTTTTTTAAATAATAATTATTATTTTTCAATAATAAAACAAGTAAAAAAGATGTAAGTTCGAACTTTGAATACCCTCCACCATTTGGAACGAATTTCGCAATTCTCAAAAACAATAAACCGTTAAAAATTTTGTTAAAATTTTAAAAAATACCGAATTTAGCTATTATATTAGGGTCTATACGACGACATGAACCTGCGTAGGTAACATTTGTCATAATCCAATATAATATTCAAATGCGAAACTTAAAAAAAAAATCGGTTATAATGTCGATAAAATCAAAATACCGAATATCTGGAGGTACCGTTATATGGGGGTATACGAAGACGTGGACCTGCACAGACAATTTTCTTTCGTAGGCTGTAGTATCCATTACGAACTTCAAATATCAAATTTGAAGCAATTCTGGTGAAAAATGTCCCTAAAATCATTAAAATACGGAATATAGTGGACATACATGGCCAATTTTCAATACCAAAAGTCCTACAGACATAACATACATTTGAGCAAAATTATATCAATCTACTTCAATTCGTTCGGAAGCTAGAGTGATTTCCACAGACGGACAGATGGACGGACATCGCTAAATCGCCACAGAATTTTATGCTGATCCAGAATATATATACTTTGTGGTTTCTAAAATGTGTATTTCGAGGTATTAGAAACCGAATGAAAAACTTAATATAATCTGCATACTATGGTGGAGGGTATAAAAATTGTTAAGAAAATATTCAAATTCGGGTGTTTTCAAAATGCTTTAAAAAATGAAAAAATCTAATAAGGGCGAAAATATTTCTAAATCTATATTATTATTGTTAAATGAATTTTACATAAATTTCAAAATAAAAGATGCACAAATTGAAATGTTGATTGATTTTTTCTTTAATTTCTTAGAACAAATTAATGTATATTTAATAAAGCATATATGATTATCAGTCAACTTTTTTCTGTAAAATAATTTGAAAAAATGTAATAGGGTCTATCGAAAATGTACATAATATTGAAATATTTAGCGCAGATAAGCGTTTTAAAGCTGGCATAAACCTGCGACATATATCAACTAGGCAGAATTTTAGAAACCTGAATAGAAATGATAATATTCCATCCATAGGAATAAAATGTTAATTTAAATTATTAGATTCCTGGGCCGTGATTTATGTTATAGCAAAACGAGGATCCGAATTGACAAATTCTGTAACTCACGACTAACCCTAATCATGCGGAACATTTGGACAGTACCATTTTTGCATTGCTAAATACTTAAATTACATTAAAAATTCAGAATTTGAATATTACACTTGTGACGGAAGCCATTGAAAGAGTTTTAATCTAACAGAAAAGAAGATTAACTAGAAAAAGTAGATGCATTTTTCAAAACTGTATTCAATTGGATTATGAACACAAAACGTATTCGGTGGTTTTCCACATCATTGAGTTTTAGATAGGAGTCAAATATTGTTTCAACGAAAAGTTGGTACGGTAGGGGTTGCGAAGCGTATCATGAAGTCAGCCAGTAAAATATAAAAACAACTTAAATCGAATAAGGTCCATTATGAAATTATAAAATAACTACGTTATCCATAATTTATATACAACACCAAATTCAATTTATACATATATACAATTTATCCATTATATAAAGTTCATACATACATGACATGTACAGATATACACACATATGTTAATTGCATTCTCTTGTCTCCCTCCATTTATAGCATCGCTGGATAGACCTAAAACGGAAATGTCAAAGGCCGAGGTGGCTGCGTTACTCGAAAAACAACATTTGAAAGAGTGCGAGGAGAGTGACTATCAAATCCTTGAGGGTCTCTTTCAGGCACGCGCCTCCATTGATGACACCGACGATTCATATGAGGTAAGTTAACTAAATCGAAATCGATATGTATACCATTTTTTTAAACACCCGTCAATTTATTACAGGCTGGCATTTCCGTTGACTACAGTCACCGGCATCCGCTGCGACGCGAAACTGCCGTGGAACTTTCACCATCTAAGCCGCCAGCTGGCGGTGGAATAATTGGTGGCGATAGCAGCGATACTAGCGCACCAACAGCTGCCGGCTTTCAAGTGAAAAATGAACGCCACTGGCAACGAAATGCGTCAATGGAACAGCAGCAAACATATCAGTCACCAGTTGTACCCCAACGAGCCACCAGTGAATTCCTCAATCCACCGTATGAGAGTGCCGGTCGACTCTTCAAAAAGTCCAGCGAAAGTTTGCAGAAGAATTCCAGCACAGACACTGACTACTCTGCCCATCCCTATCGCTTTATTAAGCAAAGCTCAAATGAAACCACCACCTCAATGACTGGTTCCTACAACATAGATACACCCTCATTGACTGCAGAACCCTCTTTGGATGCTGTGGACATTCAAACCCCGGCCCATGCAACGACAGTGCTCGAAAGCGGTGTTAGCCTCAGCGGAGGAGGCGGATTAGGCACTTCGGCCCGTTATCAGCCGTTGCGTACCTCTTCCATGGGTGCCTCAGACGTGAAGCGACCCAGCGAAGACGTATCCACTTCCACAGATTTCGGAACAACCGCCATAATTGGGCAAGTGCAGCCTCCTCCGCGAGCTATGCAGCTGAAGAAACAGTTTAGCTTGGACCAGGGCAAACAGCCACAACCTCCACCTATACCGCCCACAACTCGCATATCACACGCCGAAACACCCACGACTGAAAGCACCAGTGCATCGCCCATTCCGACACCGCCGAGACTTACCACAAGTGGCAGTGACAGTGGTGGTGCTGCATTGCCGACAACGGTTCCTGCCAAATTGCTTTCCTCGCTGAAACCACCGCTTTCCAGTAAACTTGGCATGAACATTCTCAAGGAGAGTAGTTCGAGCACTGAAGAGTCCAAAGATGGCGATTCGACCGCAGGCCCATCCTCTGCCGCTGGCATGGTCATTCCCCAAATAAGCACCGACCTAGTTCAGGACGAAATTGCTAAGCTATCATCGAACATCAAGAGCAGTACCGAGTCGGAGAAGGATCCTCCCTACAACGAGACAATGTGCTGATTTTTATTGAAACTTTCCTCCGTCTTCGGCATCTCGGCCCAATCGTCTGACTCCAATTCTCCGGCTTCTACTTCTTCTTCGTTATCGGCCGCAACTGCAACGATGGACCGAACTGCGTCACAAAATAGCAACCAATTTTTATCAATTGTAAATAGGTTTTAGGTTAGGTAAAAGCGTGTCATTTGTTTACAACAAGAAAACAATAAATTATTCATTCGTGTTTTTTTATTTTTGTACAAAAATCCCAATAATGTGCATAAACAATACGAACAAACAAGATAAGAAATAGTACTTATATATGTATGTATGTATGTATGTATGTATATTTTCGCTGGTTCCAACATATTTGTATGACCAGATATGCGCCCAGTCTTGCCATATCCCTGGGAGCATACATGCCAATCTCAATACCGTGTAACGGCATACACATCTTGGAAATCCCAGATGATTCACATCGATTCAAACATGTTGAGAAATGAGAAAAAAGACCATTATATTTAGTGAATAGCTAAACTCTATAAATATATGCGTGTATGTATGTAGGTATACTTATGCAATGTAGTGTAAATTGTAATACACAAGTTTTAAAATATCATGTCTGAATGTATCCCTGTAATTTTTTTTTTTTTTTGTAATTTAAGTGCGTAATATGTGTATGTCTGCTGTACTTATTATGTGTATGTATGTATTTATGTATCTATATCGTAATAATGATTATGTCGAAAGCTTTCTATTGCCATTTATTGTATTTGTAAGAGAATTAAATTATGATAAAGAGTATGAAACTTTTGTTTTGTAGTATTTGATTTACATTTGTAGAGCAAAGGTAGCGTGTGAGAGTATTTTGTTATACACGAAAATGTATTTAGCTATCCCAATACCTTAAATCGCTTCACTTCAGCCTACGTTGTTTGTGGTTAAGATTTAGACCAGGGCTGCAAATCACTTGTCGATTTGGGTTGGTTCGGTTCAGTGTTATGTGTAAATATTTGCATATCCAGTTCCACACACAAATACCCTGTCAAAATTCATCAAACTAGTCGCTGTGGCTAGGTTCCAAGCAATTTTTAACACATAAAAAAGGTTTAAAATGTATAGTAATTATATTATATAATATATAGTTAATTATAATATATTGAATTATGTGATGTAAGGAACTTGTAAAGGAAAATTATAAAGCGTTTTTACGCTTCGACGCAAATTCCTAATTTTGGTGGCACAACTTGTAAACTGAACCATTGTGCATTTGTTTGTAACATAGAGAAATAATCGAGATAGGCCCATAGTTACTTTTATCTTCATAGAATCACTTTCTGAGGCGATTTATGCATGTTAGACCGTCTGTCCATCCGTATTGTGCACCAAATGATAAATATCAGCACAAATAGACTAAATGTTGACAACTGCGACTAAATGCATCCTAAAAACAAGTAGCTCAAATTTGGTGGAAATCGATTAAGATATAGCCATAGTTCTCATATATATGTTTTATTCGATTCGATGTTTGGTCCCCTACATGCGTAATGTGCACTCCACAAAAATTATATCTGCTTCCAGATATCAGATACAGCTTCGAAATTCCTGGTTCAAATTTGGATATAGCTCCGATTACAGTTTTTTTGTGCACCAAATGGCTAATATCAGCCCAAATTGACTGAATTTTGGAACTTTCAACGGAATTCAGCCTAGAGGCAAGTGCATCCAATTTTTGTGAAAATCGGTTCAGATATAGCTATAGCTCCCATATATATGTTTCATCCGATTTGGTTTTGAAGTCCCTCACCATATATTTAATATGAGCCCAAATCGAATAGATTTTTTCATTTTCAACTGAATTTTACTATCTGATAAAACTCAGTCCGGTATGTCTATTGCTACCATAAATATTTTTTTAATATAGTTCCTATCGAAGTCATATAATACACTATACAGCGATATTATTTGGTTCATAGTCGGTATGATTAACAAACAAAACAAAATTCGCAAAATATAATCTTTTTTTCTGTAAACAACAATATTCATGTTTTCTATTGAATTTTTGTAACAATATCAGAAGGTTGGCTTAACATAGATTTACAAAAATATGGCCACCTAATGTGTGACCCTACTAAAAATGCGCAGCTCCAGATCGAAGGTTTGGATTCATTTCAATCGCCAAATTTTGCGAAGGGTTAAAAATCGCCATAACCACAATGCATATCAACGCCATTTCAATGTCTCTTTATTCCACAGCACAGAGTCACTCCTGTTTGAAAAATTAGAGTTGGAATTGAATCGCTCAAAATAGAGTAATAGTTTGCACTAAAAGTGAAATTGAGGAAAGCATAAAGCCTATTCATATTCATAAAGATATAGAACAGAGCCAAGCAATATCGTAAACTTGATTTACACTCATAAAATGTTCTTCAAAATGAAAAAAAAAAAAACTTTGAAAAATTAACTTTGAAGAAATTTTGCTTTTTACACGATTTTAAGGCATTTTGAAGGAAATTTCAATGTATTACTAGCTACATTTATTTTAACTTTCTTTAAAAAAATCTGATATTAAGAAGAATCTACTAGTTTTGCAATTTTTTCGACATCATTAAGGGAAAATAGGTTGTAATAGTGGAAAGTGTTACATTCTTGCAGTTCTGGAACACACCAAATATCAGTAGGTTTTGCCGGCAGATGTATAACCTCTGCCAATGTTCGATTATTTAAATATATTTTGACTTGTGTTATGATTATTCAAACGGTTGACGCCATATGAGGAGGTTCCGAAAGAGCGGGTCAATATTGTCTACTTTGTATCTGGTTTGGACTTCATATAAAATATGTGATAATTTTTGGAAAAGGTTGAAATGTGCGTGAGGTACCAGATATAGTGGACCTAAATATTCTATTTTCATACTTCAACCTATTCTGATATTCGGATGGGCACAATTTAAAAAGAACCATTTATTTCCAACTTTATACGAAATTAAAAATTCCGACAAATAAGAGAAATAATTAAATATTCCAAGTTGTAAAGAATCGTTGACTTGTTTCGCAAGTTATGAGAGATATAAGTATTGAAAATTGTGGCCCTATGTTTATTTTATTTGTTTTTAATACCCTCAGTCATATGACTACAGTCCGTCTGTATGTATACCATACCCACAATAGTTCAACAATTTTACAAAGCAAAATAGAAATCTAGTATAAGTAACCGATAAAGTATAAGTAAGAGAAGAAGACTAATATCAGTTGCGAAAATGGAAATATTGATTAACTCATTCATATTCATACTCCCCATTCCTCCGCAGAAAGCTCAACATTTTGAATTCTTATATATTTTGTGAAGAAGAGAATTTTGCTTGAAAATCGTATTTTTTGTCGGTTGAACGATTTTTTAATAAAATGGTCTCAAAATTCGTTATTTTAAGTTCTTAATAGGTGCTCATTCCACAGGCCAAATACTGCATTGATAGGTCCCGGCTTGTGTTTAACCTACATATAGTGGTACAATCGATATTCAGTATTTTTTACTTAAGCCATATTTGTCAATGGAATTATCTGAAATATTACAGCGTTACCTTATATTCGCTTTTTTACACAAATAAAACACGTGTATTTATATGAGAGTTAGCCAAACTCGTTCGGCGTACAACATTTCAAAGTTGAACAAGTTCGACATAGACTATTCAATAGTTTCTTTTTTGTATCCTACACCGCAAGGTGGTTAGGGTATTATGTCTTTGTGCATTTGTTTATAACAGGCAAAGGGAAACGAGTCCTTTTGATGATCTGCATAGAATCACATTCTGAGTCGATTTATGCATGCCCGTCCGTATGTTCATGTATTTTTGTAAACAAAGTATGGGTCACATTTATTGCCCGATCCAGATGATTTTTTTTCACAAATCATTTGTTTGATCTAAGGACGCACCCTATTGAAATTGAAGATAATCGGTCAAAATTAAGATAAAGCTCCCATATATATCTTCGTCCGATTTGCATTTTATTTTGCACTAAACGGGTAAAAATAACCCAAATCTATATCTATAAAAGAGGAAAATGTTTGTATGCTTGTTTGTTTGTAATTTATAGACTTTAAAACCGCTGAACAGATTTTCCTGAAAATTTGCAAGTATACTAAAACATCGCCTGAAAGTCACATAGGCTATAATCATTTTTGAAATTACACTCGGAACTGGAGATATAGCATCGGAATCGGAGGTACCTCCCAAAAATTTAGATTTTATATGTACATATCTATTGATCGATTACATTTACAGTCTCCAAATTTGGAATGCGTAACGGAATTTGAAACAAAAATAAATTTGCCAAATTATACTGAAATCGGCTCAGATTTGAATATAGCTCCCATATATATTTTGATGCAACAAATACGATATGTATGTTCGAATAAAATGAAATTTGCAATGTGTGACGGGATATTGATCAGAAAATAAATCTGTCAAAAATGCATTGACCCACTAAGCCTTTTTAATGTTATAAGGTAAAAAATTACACAACAATTTAATTGAGGATACGATTATTATGGGGAAGTATGTTGTTACCTCGAATTTCCTAATAGCAACAGAAATGCTACTCAAATTCAAAAAAATGCAGTTTTACGCTTGGCATTTGCTATGAAATTAATAAATCCGAGGGACAAACCCTTCGTGATGCGGATTAAATATATCTCCCATACTGTCTTTGTCCGATTTGCCTTTTATTGCACACCAAAAATGTAATATTAGCCAAAATGGGATGCAATTTGGCACAAATTGAGTCTAGAAACAAATTGGGTGAAAATCGGTTCAGATATACCTACAGCTCCCATATAGTTCATCCTATTTTTTTTTTCTCCACATTTCTCCACGATGTTTTTATATATTTTCTCCGTAACGATATTTTGGGAAAATATATCAAATACAGCTCAGAAATACCTTTGCTAAATTTTATCGAGATAGTTAAGATTTGGATATAGCTCCCATATATCTTTATCCGATTTCAAGTTAATAGTTGACCAAATGGGTAATACAAGCCCGAATTTAAAAAGCACAAATGCCTCGGCTAATTTAGTAAAAGTCGATTCAGAAGAGGATATTTTTCTCATATATTAGTTCCTTTGAACTTTAAATTATAACTTTAATCAAAGTTGGTAGGACTTAATTTTCAAAATTCGCCGTAACAATTTTTTGTTACGTGAAGCTCTACTAAATATGCAAAGCGGTGTAGAATATCATAAAGTCGACCCCGTCCGAGTTAAATACGTTTTTTACTGGTTTGTGTGTTGAAAATATAAATGAATAATACAAAATGTAAATATTTGTAATTGGAAAAAATTACAATGGAGTGAATTTAATAAAGAATAATTTTTTTAAAAGTCCAATTGATAGTTCAAACGACTCTGCTTCAATTTGACATACAAGTTTCTCAGAGGAGTATGTTCCTTTATGTTCCAGAGGAGTCTGTTCCTTAGCGGTTCCTCCATCTCCCAAACAAAATACTTGTCTAATAAAATTCGTCTAACGCACATTTTTCAATATCTAACCACGTTTCGACATAAGCCTCAAATAGCGGGTTCAGCCATTCGTATATGTTGGAAGGCCCAAGCCGCATTCTCCAGCAGAAGAGACCGCTTCAAACCTTAATCCTCGCCAAAAAAATAATAATTTAGATCCTGTTTTTGGAAATCCTTTTCCCACTGAATTGGTTGCTATTTTGTGTTTCGGATCCGTAATGCGATATTGCAAAGACATATTATTTTTTATTATCGCTCATGTAACGGTTGTCCCAAAATTGTAATTGAGGCTATTGGGTCAAGCTAAAACGTATTCCGATTGAATTTCCTTCGATATTAAATGTGAGAATTTGGCACTTGCATTAATACAAATTATATAGCTTCTTTAATCCTAAAGATCATCAAATACTACTTAATAATTGAAATCAACAAGTAAGCAAAGGCTATAGTCGTGCGGGCCGACCATGTGATACTCTACAACACTACAATATGTTCGAAGTCACCTTATATCCAAATCCATTTTAAAGGATTTCGTTCTTGAAGTAATGTCCAAGAACCCCGCCCAGATGTTACCCTTATTTACGCACTCCGTAGTGTTGTTAAGTATTCAAAACAATTTCACACGAAAGTTGTCCATTTTACAGCTAAATATAATCCAATGGTCATCTAAAATGCTAGACATCCTCCCTAGCCTTAACTCTCTACTGATGTGAAATTCCGTGTCGATTAGTTTTCAATTGCGGCCTATAGAGCGACTACAAATTTAGAATTTTTTTTTTATTTTTTTTTTTAGTCAATTTGCACCTTTAAATGTACATCTTAAGAACAATAGGCTTTAATTCTGACCCTAACCCTATCCTCATGCAACATTTCGTGAGGATCGGACGATAATTGCGATATGCATATAATACCCTCAAAACGAAGTGTTGGGGGGTGTAAAAAATTAGAAAATTTACAATTCAAAATTGTAAGTCAAATAGAAAAAATCATCAATTCTTTTACATATATATTGTACCTATTTTGCAATATATCCGATTTCTTGGCTATTAGCATCACTGTAATGGCCAGAAGTGATCTTTCAATGTATTTGTGATTTGGCTGGGATTGAAAATATTCGCAGTTTAGTGAACATTTTCCTATTTTCTTACATAAAAGTTAGGGTATATTTTACCCGCTAATTATTGTCCGATGCCCAAATTGGTAGATTTCTGCCCACTCCTAAGCTCTAACTACATGTAAATTTCAACCCCTAAATATCGTGCGATCATCTCCAAAAACAATATGGTTCTATTCTGATCATAACCCCACCTCCATTTTCAAATTCGTGAGGATCGGTTCATAATTGCGACCTGTAGCTTGATTACAAATTAACATGGACAGACGGACGGACATACATAGCTAGATCGACTCATCTCGGCGAGATAGGAAGATCCATATGGGAAACCACTATTTCGAGGTGTTACATAATTTTTGACCCAATCAAACTTATAATACCCCCAACACATAGTGTTGTAGGGTATAAAAACTACATATTCCAGGACACATTTCTTAGATTTCAGTTCTTTTCGCACCTTTCACAAATCAAAAGATAATCAGGCAAAAGTATACACTCTTAGCCGTTTCGCCGGTTCGTTGATAAATTGTTAGTCAGTCACTTAATACTCGAAATGGGATCTCATGCTACAAAAGTCTAAGTTTCAAAAGTTATTCAAAACCTATATTTTGCTCATAAATACATAAACTTGTATATAATACAAAACAAGGTCATGGCAAATACATTTTTCATAAATCAAGTTCCTTCAGTATTCGAAAAAAATCATAGGAATATCACATTTCCTGCTAATCAAATTTAAAAGTTGGTCGCATGTTCACTTTAAAATTAGAATAATCAAAACGTGAACCAAAAACTTTTGAATTCCAGCTGAGAATTTGCTACCTTACAACTAATATTAAGAGTAATCCTAGAATTGCAACTAAAAAACTGCTTAAGACCCTACTAATAGACAAAAAAAAAAAACATATCCGCCTCAGCTAAAATGTTAATGCGAAAGTATTATGAATGTATATTAAAAATCGATGTATTTTTGTAGAACTTTTTAGGTAATTTTAACTTAAAAAAAAAACACACACACACGAAAAGGATACTACTTCATATAAACCTGAAACAACTTAAATGGAATATCTATTTTTAAAATAATCGAAAAACAAAACTCTTAAGTCATTTCAACACCAAGCAAGTCACATTCATAAGCAACGGATACCAAAACAATAGATATAAAATTAAAAAAAAAATAATATATATAAAAAATATATATTTAATTGTATAAATATTGCATATTTAATGTTAAACAACAGAACAAAGAATCAAATGTCGTTATACATAAAGAATACATTTATTGTACGTTACTTTATATTCGTTGAGATTTTAATAAAAAGAATAAACTTTTAAACCGATTAAATTGCATTGATGGTACTTTAAATCTAGGGAAACGGCCAGAAATGCGGCTAAGAAAGTAGGAATTTTTAATTTCATGGTTGTTGAAACCATTGTTGCCAAAAAGACAATATCTAAAAATCTCCCTTTATTTATGAATTCCTGGCGGTTTGATGCATTCTGAGACCTACAGAAGAATTCTATGACAAATAATTTTGGGGAATATTTTGAATATGACGAAATGACTCCCTTGCCGTAATGTTATCAGTAATGTTGCTGAAGACACTTTATATATAAAATGTAAGGATCTTATGAAATATTTATACAACAATTTGGAAGAGAGGGAATTTTTTCCTTCTATTAAACGCCGACACATGTTTTCTATTTTGATACCCTCCACCATACATTGGAGGGTATATTAAATTTGCCTTTCCGCTTGCAACACCTCAAAATATTAGTCGGAGACTCCAAAAGGTACATTTACTGGGTGAGAAAAAAATTGCAACCAACTTCAGACTGCTATCATTTCTAAGCCACTCGTCCGACAGCTGTTAATATTGTTCCAGTGACAACTCATTATATTGTTTACAAGCATACAAAAGCATCTTGGTGAGAATTTTCCAGAAAAAGAGTTATTCGTGATGGAATTGAAGCGTAATAGTGTGATGCTGGAAAACCTTAAGTGGCTATGGTTAGAGCAATCCAGTATTTAAATGTGAATAAATCTTTTGTGTCTCGTTCCATCGCTCGTCACCGTGATACTGATAACGTAGCCCGACGTCAAAGGAGTGGACGGAAGAAAACAGCAACATCAGCAGAAATTATTCGAAAAGTAAAGAAGCGTCGCAGTGGCCGAAAAATTACTCGTGAGCTGAACATATCACAATATTCCATTCGGCAAATATTGAAAAATGAGAAAATGAGAAATTCCAAAAAGTGCAAAAACTTACACCGCAACAGAAAGAAAATAGACTCAAAAAAGCTAAAGAGTTGCTTTGCTTGGCCGAATTTGGTTTTCTCCGATGGGAAAACATTCGTTGTCCAGCAGTTTGTAAACAAACAAAATAATGCCAAAGAGGTCAGCTGAAAATGTGCACTTTCGGATGGCCACCAGAACTCAAGCGCCAGCCATGGTGATAGTTTGGACCGCCATAACGGCTGATGGTTGCTCTCCGCTCGTGTTAATCGACCGTGGCATCGGAAAAAATTCCGAATATTATTCGCACTCAACACGCGCCACCCAAGAATGGTTACAAAATGAGGTTCCTCGCTTCATTTCCAGCGCACAATGGACACCAAAATCTACGGATACCAATCCGTTGGACCATTGTGTCTGGAGTATTTTGGAAAGCAAAGTTGGCACTAAAAAATACCAAAGTGTCGGTCAACCAAATGTTTTGCCGGGAATGGGTCAAAATACCGTGACTAATTTGAACAAATCTAAACTTATTCTAAAATTTGATGATATTTCCGGCATTTTTTGCTACCATTCAATAAAATTAAAAAAAATGTAAAAGTTATTGCGTTGCAGTTTTTTTATCTCAGCCTGTATTTCCATAATTTTATGGAACTTTCCTATAATTGTTTTTCGTGTTGCACAGTGTTATATGCGAGAAGGTTGAGATTGAAAAATGTAGTTCGACCCTCCATACTCCTAAAATAGCCTTGTGCTGTAATTGTCGTGAATTTCCATTGATATAAATTGACAACACTAAATAACAAATTACAGCGTCTTATCATAATTAAAATACCAAGAATTGATAGTTACTATACCTTAAAAGTAAACCAAGCACCCAATAAGTAACTTCTAAATCGAACGGATTTATCTTAGGCGGAAACGTGTACAGTGAATAGTATAAAATATCATAGACATGTTCAGGGAGGAAGATGTATTTCCACATTTTTCACGGACAAAATGCTCCTAACTGGATTTTTTCGTTCTTGCTAATAATTTTTAAGTAACTTTAAATCTCGGTACAGTTACTTCAATATTGTTTATATTTCCCTATGATGAGGGTATTAATAATTCGCTCGAATTGCTGTTTCAAATGTATCATTTCCCTTTTAATAAATGGTATTTCCACAACGCTCATTTGTCGCATGACTTATGACAATTTATCAATCAATTAATCATTTATAAAAATTCGTTTTTATTTCTTAACACATTTTTACAAAATACAAATAACATTATTGGTAACATAGAAAAAAGTATATACTATTTGAATACATATAAGTATGCCTGTAAACTTATGGCAGATTTTACAAATTACATTTGGTATGTTTCAGTTGGCTAACTCCAACTTCATTTACATTGTGATGTACAACTATTTTAACATTTAATTAAAAAAAATAACAAAAAAAATCTTCAATAAATATTGTCACACATATTCAATAAATTATTAATGGCGAGAGTTAGACATCACAGATGTATGGGTCACACCCTACGTTGTAGCTTATATCAAATTAGTTGCCAGCGGTATTTAAGTTCGATGCCTCCGTAACGCCATCCGTTGACAGAGTGGCTTGGTGCATTAGTTTGTCCATCTCTTCCTTGGTGGCGCGCTTAAAGAAACCGGCCTTATACATGCCATATGTTATTAAGGCCAGGACCAGCAGACCACCTATTACGGACACTATTATAACCCATATGGGTGTACCGTACAGCTGATGCTTCGAAATAATATTGTACTCTATATTTTTGGCAACAGCCAAAGTTGTGCCCAAGGGGTCACCAGTCTTTTGTACATTCAAACCAACAACGACCACAAAGAACTCCCAGGGTTCGATTAGAATCTGATTGACCGCCTTCAGGTCCACGTGGTATTTCATGGTGACTGTTAGCGGCTTATTGGGTTTGAAATCGTACAGGGGGATTACAGCTTGGACACATATTGTGGTCTCGGGATCGTTACAATTGAAGACTATCGTACGATTGACCGGAAGGGTTCCTTTCAAATCCTCGCCCAACAATTCATACGATTTTGGATTGGCAATCCGAGCATAATTTTCCTTGTTGACAGTTAAAGTTGCCGCTTCACGACGTCTGCGTCGACGCGATGCTGAGCCAGACATAAATGAATCTGAGAGAAAACAAAAAAAATTAATTAATTAATATTCGCCCTAACTTTATTTCTCTTCGCTAAACACTTACCGCCAAAGGACTCTTCTCTAATATTGAACTCATTTATGTGACCCATATTGGTGGAGTCGTAATGCATGCCATTGTTGTTGCCTGCTCCGTCGCCAATTGAGGCAATTTTGCCGGTAAATTGTGTCGAGTAGCTGGATGTTTTCTCCACTGCGTTCATCAGGATTTGCGTGGTATTCTGATAGAACTGAACATCCTTGATTTGTGAATCGTAGACGGCTTGCATTGTGATGTTGCTCAAATCAATAATTGGTATATTTTTGTTATTTCCTGAGTTGATGTAGGCCACGGGTATGTCAAATACGACTTTCATAGAACCGATATTACTGGGTCCAACACTCTTGATCTGTTGATGTATAAAACAAAACACTTGCATTAGAATGAGTACATTACAAATATGTCAATATAAGTCGGGAATTTGCTTTATTGAGGCGTTTACCACTTCTAAAAAGAGAGTATTGGGCAAAATGGCAATGGACTTAAATTGGGTGTTAAATGCTAATATGACACACTGGCTAATATCTACATCTGACAGGGGGACGACCTTACACTAGTTTTATTATTAGTACAAATATTGAAGGCATGTGGGGAACAATTTCGTATTATAAGAGAAAAAAAATTAACTATTTATGGGAGTAGACCGACATATCTGCATATAAGATCGGGTTATAATTGGGATATACGAAGCAGGAAAAAATTGGATACTAATTGAACATTTTATGAGAATTATTTGCATTCAAAGTGTTGACATTTTGGGGCGGGAACGAGAAGCAGCGGACATTATTTTCAAACATGGATAAAATTAAGAGAGTTATAATTCAAAATGTTGTCCTTTTTGTGGGAGGTACATAAATGAGAGGTGAAATATTGTTGATTGGATTGGCACTAATTTCACGTTTTACTAAAACAGTTTTTAATCATAATTTTTAAGTTTTGTGGGTGAGGTACAAGAAATAGCGAACCAATATTGACCATTGTGGCATCTGACTTGGCCATATCAAATGATATATACCCTTTGTAGCCAAACTATCTGAATTAATAAACATTGACAATTAATAACTAGTAATTAAAAGCCAAAAGTCGGGAGACTATATGACACTCTACACCACTATGCATTTTTAGTAGAGCTCCCGTAACAAAGCGAGCTATCAACAATTAGAGCAGTTTTAATTTGGTTTCAGAGGGAACTAATATATGGAACTAATATATATATATGGGATGCATATCGTATATATATATATGTATATATATATATATATATATATATATATATATATATATATATATATATATATATATATATATATATATATATATATATATATATATATATATATATATATATATAAAAGTACCTGAATTAAAGCGTGTTTTACTCTAAACTTCGTGTACCAGTAAGACCGTTTGGATAATGTAGTTAAATTTATCAAAAAAAAAACATATAGTGAGTGAAGCCGATATATGGAGCCATACCAAAACGGAAACAACAATTTTATACTTCAAAGATTGTCATCTATCAATTCTTCTAAAATACCAAATTTGAAACAATTTCATGAGTAAATGTGACTAGGATTATCAATATACCGAATATCGGTGGATATCGATTTATGTGCGCTATAGGTATTCTATATTTCGCCACCGGAGCTATAACCCGTAGCTCGTAGGAAAATATGGCAAAAATCATCAAAATACCGAATATCGGGAGGTACCGTTATATGGGGGCTACACTAAAACGTAGGTCTATACATACAATGTTTCGTCACCGGAGCTAGAACCCATCATGGCCAACAAGTTCCAATTTTTAGACAAATCCGCGAAAAAATGCGGCAAAAATAATCAAAATACCTAATATCGGAAGGCACCTCTAGTATGGGGGC